AGTATTGTGTTGTATGTGTTTGCAAATTTAAAGCAGCTTGTTACTGCATGACATTTGAATGATTGTCATTATTAATGATGATATATGATGGATTTCCAAGTGCCAAGTGAAGGATAAGTGAAGTTGAAGTGTGATCTAAAGGCCTTGTTTGTATTGGTATTGTTCAGCTAACTAAGGTCCCTGCTCCTTGAAATTTTGCTAGTACAATGAAAGGACAAGTGTGGCGTCATTGACTCAAAAAGCTGCACTCACAAATCTCTACAAACTGCAGCATTTGACTAGTGTCTTACATGATGGTAGAAGCCTGCTACATAAGAAGAAGTACTTTAGTAAGACTGTTGTGTTGGATTTGTTTGCACATTTAAAGCAGCTTGTTACTGCATGACATTTTTTAATTTGTGGAAACACAAGTGCATCTTTGAAATTCCCACTACTGAAGAATCACAAACAGGTGTAACTAATCTAGAATGCTGGTTTAGTTGAAGCATGAATTTTCTTTATCAAAGAAAAGAATGTACTTTACACATATAAATAAGATGTTAAGAATGAAAATGTGGCCTGACACGTTAAAGCCAAAATCTAATCAATGTGTTGCTATGTTAAGCAATAGTCACCAGCAGATGTGTGTGTCCCGCGGCGTCCGGTCTGGTCCGGTCCGGTCTGGTCTGGTCCGGTCCGGTCCGGTCAGTTGGAGGTGTAAGGGCGGACTGCCAAAGAGGAAGTGGAGGGTTCCAGCTGCATTTGTAGAGAAGAGGATTAGTGGTATAATCTTTTCGAGTTTTTGTGTGTAATAGTAATAGTAAATAGCAAATAATGATAATGTATGAAATGAAAATGAATTGAGAAGTAAGATATGGTGAGTTGAATAAAAATGAAGACTATTGTATGATGAGTTTTTGTAATGAATGTAATTTAAAATTGAATATGGATTTAAAGGCGGTAGAGCAGAAGAAAATGGTGACATAGCGTTGCAGCAGCAAAAAGACTTAGTGTAAAAGAGGCATGTAAGCAAAGAGCAAGAATATAGAGTATAAATGTAAAGATTGTAAATGTAGGATTGATTGCAGATGAATTGATTTGAAGTTTGTAAAAATGTGACCTACGTGATGTGTTGTCCAGGCGGTCCAGAGGGTCCAGCAAAGGTGACATGACAGGAGGTGGTCAGAGCTGAGGCCTGCTGATTGAGCCATGATCCTTATGTGAAAAATGAAAATGGATATAACGTTTCCATATGATGACGGCCAAATGATATTTTGAATAACTAGTAAGCGTTTTGCTGATGAATTGCAATGAATAATAGAAAAGCCAAGTGAAATGTGGATAAGAAGAGTTGTGGTAGATTTGGGGAAGTGTGAGTTTTATTGAGAGATAGTGGTGATGTTGTTTGAATGTGTATGATGTGAAATTAGAGGTGGTGGTTTGTATGTTTTGTAGGGCTAAGTGTTGTAAGTGTTGTAAGAGTGAAAGGCAGAAGATTGAAAAGTGAGCAGTTTGTGTTTGTGCAAGAGTGAAAGATGTGCAGATATAAGGAATGGTCTTACTGCTGTGCAGACAGTCATGGTCCTGATGCAGCTGAGTATGATGTTGAGAAAGGGGCGTCTCCACCTGTAAGAAGAAATAGAGCAAATGTGAGTGTTTTGACTTGAGTGTTTGAGCTACAGTGATATATGTAAAAAATGACAGGTACACTGTGGCTGTATTGTTTTCCCTCTTGTAGAATATATGTTAAGTATATATAATAAGCGGCGGTGATTGGTTGGCACGTTATCACGGCTCCCACGGTCTCCGACCTCAGGTCTCCGAGTGCGTCACCTCCGGAGCAGGTGACACACTCTCCAGAGACAGTTGAGAAAGATATGTGTGTATTTAATAGAGCATGTTTGTTTTGTCATGGTGATATAATTGGAGTGTTTTAAATGAGAAGACACTTGATGGATGGATGCGAGTATTCTAAATAATGTGGAGCGGTGAGTACACAGCTACAGTACGTGATGAGCAGTTAATTCCCAAATGAGCTGGCCACGGCCATTACCTTTTGTGACGGGTGGTCGCCACCTTCCGGTCTAATGGACAGCCGCTCCTCTTTCCTAGAAGGTGGGTGAATGTGGCACATGTGAGCGTAAAGAGTGAAGAGCGGAGTGGTGTGCTGGACGGCGCCGGTCCTGGTCTGGCAAAGCGGGACATCTGCGTTAAAAGAAGACACAAGCACATGTAATGACAGACAGACTGTGTAGGCTGAGATGAGGGAGGGTGGGTACTCTGCGTGACATTTGAGGTGGTTGTGATGTGATTTTGTAGTGTTTGTGATTTGATGTTGAAGTTCCAAGTGGTCAGCATGCAGAGAAGAGAGTGAGCAGAGTACATATGCAGCAGAATAAAATGAAATGAGTGGTCTGAATTTTCTCCTGTCCCCGTTTGAGTCAAAGTTTAAGTCCTGTATATTTCAATTATAATTGTAATGTGATATTTTGTCATTGGTAAGTTTTGTAAAGAAGTGTTATTTTTATTGCTTTTGGTTGTATACATTTTTTAATTTGACCTGCATGGGTGAAATATAGAGATAAGAGTGAAGCGATGCACTTCCTCCCTCCATGACTGATGTTGTGTTCTGAGTGAGAAAGAGTGAAGAGCTGCCACATGAAATAGGAGTTAATGTGCTGTTCCCACACATGTAAAGTGGAGTGATGCCATTGCAAGAAAGTAGTGCACAAGCAAAGATACACATTGTTTTGTGCATAGTCTTATCTGTTAAGTGTCACAAAATGCAAAATGTTTTGTCAGTGTTATTTCTATAATAACACTGACAAATATAATATGCAAAATTCCTGAGTGAAGCACTACAGGCCGTCTTCCCCTGTGGACCTTTGTTTTGAGTCTTCTTTGCCTTTTCCTACATTTCCTATGAATGATATCAGGAGTGAAGATGTTTGAAAGTCAACAGAGAAGCTTGAGCATGTGGGGTTACCTGGGCTTGCTAAATGTGAATAATTTGGTTGCTTAGAATTTGAGAGTACTAAGTTGTGATTTCCTTTGACATGACTTGGAAGTTAATGGTAGAGCTACACAAAGACATTTGATGTGACTTATTTTGATAGTTGTTTAGTGATATTTAATTGAATTGAAATTACCCAAATGTTTGTAGCATGTGGTCCCATGCGTGCTGCCTCCAAGCCAAGGTGAAAGGTCAGACTGTCAAACAGGATGTGGATGAATCCAATTTGATTTATAGAAGGGGAACCCGGATTGTACTAAGCGGGGTAGAGAACAGAGGGGTGTTTGGCTGCTGCCCAAAGAAGCAGTTATTGTAAAGTACAGTAAGTGGAGTAAAAGTTATTTAGTTTCCTCCATCACCACTTCATGATTTCTTTAAATGTGCTGCTTTCACAAGAGTCAAACTCACATCTTCCGAATTTCCAAACTGCATTCTAACAACCTGAACTGTTAGGTCAGACCTTTGTCATACTATACTATGACATTTTTACGTGTTAATATACTATGGCATTTTCATGACTTATTATACTGTGACATTTTTATGACTATACTATGATATTTTTTATGCCTTACCATACAATGTCATTTTTAAGACTTACTATACTAAGACATTTCATGCCTTACTATACTATATTTCATGACTAACTATACTATGACATTTTTATGAAACTACCCAAATGTTTGAATCATGTGCACCCATCCTTGCTATGTCCAAGTTGAAAGGTCAGACTATCAAACAGGAAGTTGGTGAATCTAATTCAATTTATAGAAGGGGGGAACCCAGACTGTACTAAGTCAGGTAGAGAACAGAGGGGTGTTTGGCTGTTGCCCGAAACAGCAGTTACTGTGGTTACAATGAATAAAGTGAAATTAACACTTAACTTCATCTTGTAGTAAATGTCATATCAAGCCCTGTGATCATATTCATGTACATGTACAGTAAATGGAGTAAAAGTTATTTAGTACAGGCCACCACGTCTCAACCATGACCACGTAATGACTTCTTTAAATGCCACTGTGGAGGGTGCTGTGTCAAGGGAAAACAAAATATCTGGAGCAAAATGAATCTCACTAGAGTCGGTGGGAGGGTATGGGGCATGTGGTTGCCCCTGAGCTTCCAGAGGAGTAGAAATTGGGGGTTATGAAACAGAAAACCATTAGTGGCTGGAGTTTTGAGAGGACAAAGTAGAGACAACTTGACTACTACACAGGACACCCAGACTCGACAACACTGCTTGACAACTCGACAAGATGGTAGACTACCATACACAACTAGTCTACTTGACAAGACAACTATACAACTCGACTACTTGACAACTCGACTACTATACTATACGAATACACTACTATACTAATTAAATGACTATTAACAGTAATTTACATTATAAATATAAAATTCTGGACGAGTAATCACGACACAACAAGAAACTTGAATTTATTAAGCCTATATTATGACAAGAGCAGTGGAGATCTGTTTTCTGATAGATGGCCATACAGACCCCAATGATGTAACAGCATCTCCCGTCTCACCAAAGATAAACAACACATACAGATCTCTCACTCTGACGCTCTATAGTGATACAGCAACAGTCATCACAGTCTAAATTACCGCAGCACGAACAAACGACTATTTTCACACAGCAATAATTTCCATCAATTGTTTGGTTTACAAAATACTGAAAAGTGCACGATTTAATTTCTACAGTGTTATAAAAACAGGAAAACAATATCAATATAAGTCATTTAGCTAAACTAAGTAAAAATAACCTTGCTATCTATCAACGAAGTGCACAGCATGTATTTTACCAATAATTATTTATTGGACTAAAGCACATATAAATTACATAATTACATTATTTATATTTCGGGCCAAAATCATGTCGAGTTGGTATTGTTTTTTTCCACTGAGTGACACATCGCTTTGTTGAAAACGATCTTCGGGCCACACGCCCAGCCTCAGCACCAGCGCATCCTTTCTTTACGTGTTTTTTTGCCCCCTCTCTCCGCACCAAGATTAGAAGAAACCATGGTAGGGATGAGGCCTTCACGATAAAGACAAACATTGCTGGACCTCGTTCTTCTCCTCCCGAGTTCGCTTCTCGCGGTCCGTTATGTCTTTGAGCCTGCTCCCCCTCTCGCCATGCCCGCTGCTGAACGCTACCTGCCGCCGCTGCTGCTCTTTCTGCCGTCGTTGCTTTTGATTTCCTGCCTGGATGGGGCGGTGAGAGCAGCGGAGGGCGGCGGCCTGCCCTCCTCGCCCGGGGACAATGGAGTCATCGCCGCGGCTGGAGACCCGTCTTCTACATACCCGACCGACCCGGGGCGATTTCTCAGCCCCTCGGCTCTGATAGCAGGTAATTATGAACAAAAAGGCGCTACGTCTGCTCTCTCTCATTGTTAAAGAAAATGGGAATTGGCTGCATCAGAGCAAACAGTGTTATTCATGATTGAATCAGGTAGCAGTGTTGTGCATCTCATGTTTGTTTTTGTTACCCTGATGTCAATACGTGGCTCAATAATTGTGCGATGAAATTAGTCATGCCATGTCTTTTTTTTTAATATATATATACATCTTATTTTGAATATAACCTGCTGGCAGATATAAGAAAGTTACCAAACCATTACCAAAATATGACCGATTTTAAGCAGTGTGAATCTGCTTTGTATGCAGATACTTTGAGCAGAATATACCTTTAAAATCACTGCATATCTTGTTTTGCTGTAAGCTATATTAAGTATTAATTAAGTAAAGCCCTTACAAAAAAAAAAGTAGGTGAAAATGAAGAATAATTTGGCAGCACCAATTTATTGTACATCTCCTGTTTTAATCCTATATTGTTAAAACATTAACTAACACTACTTGTCTGATATTTCTATTGATAGGCTATTGGATATAATTTGCAGCCAGTCTGGCCAACAGACTAATAGGATAATGTATACTGTGGAGGTTTGAGGGATTAGGGTTTTTATCTTTTTGGCCTGAGCAGGTGATGTACTAATGGGGGACCTTGGTAATCCTGTGCTGCTCTGCTGATACAGTAGGTAAGCCAGTGTTCGCTGATGGCCTCACCGCTGCAAAGTCTGTGTTTACATTAGGTTTATGAGCATGTATGGTAATTTTACATAGAATAGTCTTTTTTAAAAACCCAAAGCTTACTAGGATCTCCAGCAGCCACATCAGTATCAACTAGAAAATAAATACAGAATGTATTCTGGTCAAGATTTTTTTTTAAAAGCCCCAAAAAGGCTGAAAACTAGAGTTGTAAAACAAGTTACTCAACAAAAGCTTGATATTAAAAATGAGGAACTTGCTCCTGCATATTAACTATGAGTGTTCCTGTATGCATATAAGAGTGATCATTAGTGTTGGAAGGGAGGAGACGTTTAACATGGCAGTGTAGCTCTTCCTCTCTGCTGTCACTTGGTTTTGATGTATTTTTCATTCTCCCAGCGACTCAGCTTGCCTCATCACTTTTTCATAGTGAGAGAAAGGTTACTGAGTACTGCTGAGAGGATGTGTTGGAGGCATACAGATAGAGCACATGCAGAGACACACGTATTGGACATGTACTAAAATTTTCTTATGATTAAGAAAAAATTCACAGGACTGCCAAATGACTCTATTGCATCTTCTCCCCAGAGTCCCAGTTTGCTCTAAAAGTCCTGGTGAGGGATGTGGTGACCCGTCAGCCGCTGTCGGGGGCTTCGGTGGATGTTTATGTGAACCACACTCTGAGGAGCTCTGACCGAACGGGGGCGAGAGGCGAGGTTCTGCTCTGGGTGGCGTACAGTCCAGGCCTCAGTCTGACATTACTGGGCAACATGGAAGGCTACGTCCCCCGCCCGCTGCCGTGGAGCACCAGCAAGAGACCAAGTGAGTTACCTACCTCGACTAAGCCTGGCTTCTTTGACGTCTGGATGACAGCCCTCCAACACTGTAAAAAGAAAACAACCAATAAACAGAAGCACAGGTCTATATAGAACAAACATTTGAGGCTTAGCATAGTGCCTTCCTCAAGGATACATGTTCTGTACACACAGAATCATGAGGAGGCAGTTAAAGGTTGAAAAACACTAGAAGTAAGGGAAAAATCAAACATTCTATGTAGTATGCTACAAAGCCATTTGTACGCGCTTATTTACAGTATTAACTCACACACTCTCAAATGCATTATTTATAGCCATTAAAGATTAATGAACTGTCTGCAACAACATACAACTTGTCCCTGGAATGTGCATTCAAGTGTAACTGAACGCTGTGTTCCATAGTCATTTCATTGATTGTTTCTACATGTACTGATGAGTTGAGGTGTCCGACTCGAGCTCGGGTGAAACATATCCCTGCCTCAGCAAACTGTCTTTGTCCTGCATTGAATCAGATGCAGAGGGGGTGGGGGCTCTTTAGCCACAATAATCTGATGTTGGGGTAAAGAAAGGGGCCAGGATCTGTCTCTATTGTCTGTGTTCCCACGTCCTCCTACTTCCTCATACTGGTCTCAGTCAAACAGAAAATTATCTGGGAGGTGGTGTTTTGCAGGAGCGATGGAGCAGATGTTACGAGGGATAAAATCAGAGTGTCATCTGTCAAGACCTGCTTCGCTTTGCATTGTCAGAGGCGCCTCCCTTTTGTGCTGCTGAACCCTAATAAAAAAAAAAGGCTTGAAGTAACGTTGCCATCTGCTGGTGGTAATACAGTTCTACAAGTCACCATAAACAGCAAAGGACAAAAGCCTGATCTCTCTCCTTACTTATTCTGTCTTGACACATCATATATTATTAATATAATATCTTAAACTAAATGTCAGTTGTATTTTTATTGCATCTGTCTATTTTCCAAAGGCATTTAGTGAAAAAAAAAAAACTTTTAATCTGTCAATTTATGTGTGCACTGTTCACATTTCCATCTTTAATTCTTGTTGTCATCATATTTTTTTTTGTGTGTTTGATTTCTGACCTTTTGTTTGTCTCCCTGCAGTTTTCTCTGCTGTGACCCTGCTGCTGCTCCCTCACAGTCAGGGGAACGTCTGGCTGTTTGAAGACTCAGTGCTCATCACTAGAAAGCTACCTGGTAAGTTTACAGAGCCAAGAGTCAGTTTGCCTTCATCTCAATGAGAACCAGTCACTATCGGTTATTTCCATTTTTAGTTGCATTTTAAGGTTCAAGATCTTGAGTTGAAAAACATATTATTTTTAAAAACATTTTCCCCCGAGCTTGATTCGTTTTTAACTTTTTAAGTTGCATAGATAAAATGAAAAAGTAAGAGGGGATTATCTCACTCCAACAGCAAACTAACTACTTACTGTGTTGCAATATTTAAATGTGAATATGACAAAGACAGTACTGTTTTTTGCCCTCAGATCAATTAGGTATAATTAAGCCTCATTGTGAATGCATTTGCTGAAACTATGTGGCCAAAGTCATTGTGTCTTTTTAAAATAAATGGCAGATTAAATGTTTTGTCCAATGCCATGAAAAAGCACACTCACTTGAAACTACATTATATATTTAAACACAGTGCATGTGTCCAGATTTAGATGAATCATATGCCATCTTGTTTTCACAGACAGTTCATCCCAGCCTAAAGTTAAATTCCCCAAGAACCTCCTCACAATCTCTGATAAGAGCAACATCTCCTCAGTGACAGCGTATCTGACTGTACCACAGCACCATCTAGCTAAAGACTGCGCCAACTGCACCCCAGGCATCATCAGCAACAAATCAGGTGAGCGTTAAACAAGGCCTCATTAATGTTTAAACCAATTTACTCCTTGTCTGGACCGTTTAAGGCTTGGTCGTTAGGAGAGAAAAATGCTTTACTCCTCCTCCTGCAGTGTTCAGAAGCATCGAGCTGAAGGCGGTGGCAGCCGTCAGCGTCCTGCTGTACTCGGGTGATGAGGAGCTCCAGGTCCGTGGGCCCATTCAAATCAGTCTGCCTCTGGGACACAACACCCTCCTCCGGGCTTCTGATACCGTCCCAGCCTGGGCCTTCAACCTAAAGACGGGTAATGAGTAAAGATTACAGAGAAGCCACTTGATCTCATTACAAAACAAGATTGGCACATGATTAATACAAGAATAATGCATGTAAACGATGATTAATACACATGGAGAGATCCAGAATTTTAAAAGAAATTACAGTCAGGTCATATTGTAATTGCAGTATTCAGCAGTGACCATGTGTGATGCTGTTAAGTTCAGTTTCTCTCTGAAATACGATTTTCAAACTGACTCCAACTTACTCTTTAAAAAACATAGAAGCAATATTGTAATTTGATTTGACTGTGATTTGATGTACTTGCTGATACTGTAATGCAAAATGAGTACATTATCACTGTTGGAAGGTGCCTGGGAGAATCAGGGTCTTGGAATAGTGAAAACTGTTGGCAATGAACTGGTTTGGACTTACACCGCTTCCCATCTTGGCTACTGGATCGCTGCAGTACTGCCCTCCTCAAACGGTATGATTACTTACATACATTGCCTCATGTAAATACAGCGTGTTGAGTGTTTTGCTGAATTTTCCATTAATAAATATGTATGTCTACTTATAAATTTAACCACTTAGATTATCTGGGACATGGAAGCACTATGGATTTCATATCATACCACACCTACTTGTTAATTGGAATACTGGGAGGAACGCTGGCTATAGTGATCGGATTTCTTTCCTTGCTGCTGTGTCACTGCGGGTAAGAAGTCTCCTCAGAAATGTTATTGGTCAGGTTCAGTTTACAGTATACAAAACATGCATGTTAAACTGCAGTCCATCTTGATTAAATTCTGTTTCCCCCCCATATACAGAGGTTCTCATCGAGAGCCCAGGAGGAGGAGAGCGCGCTTTTCTAAACTCGCAGTTTTGAAAAAAGACCAAACTACCTCCACCCACATGGAGGAGGGTTTGTTGTTCCGATCCGGTGACAACAGCCTCGCCTCCTGCAGTGTCCAGTGTGAACCCTCATCCACGCCGAGACACAAAGCCAACTACAATATCTATGTGGAGGATCCAGGGTGTCGCCCGGCGGCTCCTCTTTATGAGAACATCGCTTCAGATCGCATCAAAGGTCCCCAGCAGCCACCTCACTACATCAACAGTGAAGATGTAGCTCGGCTTCGGGAGAAGTCAGAGCAAAACCGTGCCAACATGAATGACAACTTCTTTCAAGATAAGCTGGTTCATATCTATAACCAGCCGGTGGCCATTATTCAGGCCCCAGAGCTTTTCAGTGCTCAGGAGCAGCAACTGTCAGGCTGCAAGGCTGCCACTTTCCCCCGCAATGGAGTCGAGTATGATGCTCACTCCGAGCCTGCAAGTAAAGACAGCTACACCCAGACACTACCCAAAGTCCCTCACCATCACTCCCAGGGTGGAAGCAGCACACAGCAGAGCAGCCAAGATGAGCCTCAGCCTCTGGAGACTCCTCCCCAAGGCCAAGGCCCTAACACTAGTGTGTGGGGACGCTACAGTAATCTCCTCGAATCCTCTGTCTCTGTACCTGGGACTCTAAACGAGGCAGCTGGTATGGAGGCTTTCAGCAGTGGGCACGGTGTGCCCAGTGAGCTGCAGGGGATCTCGGAGCGCACGTTACTGGAGCTGACCCGGGGCAAGTCTTCATCATCTCACCCCAGGGCCTGGTTTGTCTCATTAGATGGGAAGCCGGCTGCACAGGTCCGCCACTCCATCATTGAGCTCCAGAGCCGCCACCGCCCGCCGAGCAGCAACGACACCAGCCTGGACTCAGGGGTGGACATGAACGAGCCTCAGCAGAACATCCGCGAGACAGAGCGTGACAGGCCTTCGATCAGGGCGTCCTCTTTGCCACACCACAGCCGAGGGGGACGGTATGGCGAAGAACAGGACCTGAGCAGTAGTGAGAGTGGCAATACTGCTACCTGTACACCAGAGGACCCTTCCCTGAGGAACATTTTAGACGGGAGCAGTGGGGCTATTCCCAATATTCCCGAGGAGCGCGACGGGATGGATACATCTAGCGCTCAGGAGGACAGTGAGTCGAGAGGTACGCCACCTCCACGGCGCCTGAGGAAGGTGAGGGAGAAGGGGAAGACGGAAAAGAGGAGTGCCAAGCACGTCCGTGAGGGGAGACCTCTGACAAAGAGAAGTTAGGGGAATGGCTGATTATTGCATACACCCAGACAAGCGTTCAAATTTTCATTTAAATGTTCTATCAGCCATTTGACCCATATTGAGCTTCATCACATGGTGTCATAAGTGCTGAGTGATCCAAATTAGTTTTTGCCACTTGTGCTCACACAGGCATTGTTGTTGTTAAGTTATGTGATTGTACAACTTTGCCAAAGAATGCATAAGCTAGCTAAAGAAATAAAGCAGGATCTATGTCATGTTGAAGCATTATGTAGCTGCTGTTAGACAAGTTTCTGCACCATGTTTTCCTCATCCTCCCCAATCTGAAGATCACCAGCGAGATTCTTCACAGCAAAATGTCCGTGTGAACACGTTATCCCATAGTCCCCGGTACTGGCATTAAAGAGGGTGCCTTCTTACTGCCTGTAATCATAAAATATGATTACATAAGGCACGGTATTTGTCTACATTTAGTAAAATCTGGTAAGTTTGCAGGAAAGACACAGATACAGGTCAATGTGTAGTGCACTTATCCTCACCATAAATGCCTGCTGTAAATTAAATAAGATACAGAAGCTTTCCCCGTTTGTCGTGCTGACATCTTGTTTTGATCATCTTGACTCATTTCACTTAGAAAGACACTCTGGGGTTCACGAAGCGATTCGGTTATGTCATTATCAGAATCAGCTCTCACAGAAAAATAAATAAGAAAATAAAAAAAGTTTTTAACTCATGACATAAAATCAGATTTGCTAACAGCTAATCTGATTGTGAGTGAAATAATTTAGTTTCCACTTTCCACCTGTGGCTGACTCCAACCTCGGACCCTGATGGATTTTGGAGTAAAACACTGGTATACATTGTAAAGCTAAGCTGCCATTTGACCACACTTGATATTCAAGGCTGTAAGCCTACAGTTGTTTAAGAATGCATGAAAATGGATGTTTCCTCGTGTGTACGAAAATATTTTGCATTTTACTTTAGGGCTAACTTTAGGGTTACGTCATCATAGCTGTTAGATTACTTGGTGACTGGATGATTCATTTCATTAAAAAGGAGACTCAGTGTTCTGCTCCCAATTGTGAGTAACTGTTACAACAATAACACCCCGGACTTACACTATGAGAATGGTTATCACAACGCAAGAATCACATGGACAGATCCAAATAACACAATTATTACCCACATCCAGGGGCACCACAGCAATTGGCACTTAAAAAATGGTAATGTTTGCTTTATGAGATTCATTTTTTGTGACTGGGAAGTGTCTGGAAAATCAGATTGCTTGTCTGAAGAAACCCATGGTACAACAAGCCACTGTTAACAGCCTAATAAAAACAGTAATTGCTGATTGCTTGGAGGGGGGCTGTTAAATTGCATACAACTGCACTGCTGTGAGGCAACAATTTGATACATGAGGTAAATATTCACAATTTATAGTCTTAAATGAAGAAGCTGAAACCCTCTCACTTGGCATCCCAATGCATGCATTATTATTATTTTTGTTTTTAATAACTGGACTGCTGGTCGTGTACAGTATTATCCCCTGCAACTATGTTCTTGATAACACTACACGTAAACAGCTGGTGCCTTGTAGATTTGCTTTTACCACCTATTTCCCTAAAACTCTTGATACTGATCCCAACAAAAAATATGTTTAATTGCTGATTAGTTTGGCTACCTTTTTTTTTTTTTTGCTTCGAGCGGCATAAACTGAAGACAGAATGAAAGTTTTAAACATATTTTTCAAATGAAAGTAACTATAAGATGGATTGTCAAATTTTGTTCATTCATGTCCCCACACAGGATTAATTTTTATCTTTTTTGGTGATCCCTTTCCTTGCCATCTAGTGCCATCATCAGGTCAAAATTTCAGTGAATACTTAATTCCCGGCAGCCTCAACTGTACTTGTGTTAAGTCTTGTACTTGTGTACTTTGTGTTTAGTGCTAATTAGCAAATGATCGCATGCTAACATGCTGAAAGAAGATGGTGAACATGGTAAACCTTATGTTGGCATGCTGACATTAGCATTTAGCTCAAAGCACCACTCTGACTAAATACAGTCTTGCAGAGCTGCTGGCACGGCTGTAGACGCATAGTCTTGCTTGGGTTTAACAAAATTTTTAACAATTATTTATACAGACACACGTTTCACTTAAGTAAAATGTCAAACAACAATGTCACATGTATGCCTGCCTTTCATATCTGTCCTCTACCAATTGATATGGCAGCTTTTGTCTTGAGTCAATTAAAGCACACCACACTTTAATATGTGCCCACTTGTTACACTGGCACACAACATTCCCAGAAACGTATGAAATCTTCAGTGTGTAAATATTACAATGATTACAACAAAGAAAACTGATATCATTGCCTGTATGTGATAAAGTTTGGCAAAAAAAAAAAAACTCACCATGAATACCAGAAAATGATTCCACTAGCAATATTTATCATAAATTAAAATTTAAAAACAAACTCTGCAGTGACAGTTTTGCCATATTTAGTCTTCCGTCACAGTACTATAGTGTGTTTTTGTTTCTATGTATATAGTAAAGCAGCATTTTATGTATTATGTGACTGTGACTTCATTTAATTTGGGCTGTTCTTCCATCTAACAGCAAAGGTCTGCGAGGTGCATCAGTGCTTTTCACTGAACGATTGAATGACAGAGTTTTTAAGCAACTGTCATTTGAGATGTGTTATCAATGTGAATTCTTTTAAGGTTAGTCTAAAGAGTGAGTGTCTTTTCATGGGAGTGTACAAAAAGCCTGAGCTTTGTATTTTTTAAATGTAGCAACAAGTTGAGCACTTAATCATTCAGTATGCTAACAAATGAAAAATACTCCTGCTCTCCTGCTATCCTTCAGCTTGAAAACACAGTATATCCCAGCTTCAACAGCAACATGAGGAGTAGTTTGTGAATACTTTGTGCTGATAATTTCTGAAAGCAAATCAAACCTACTGCCACTCCCATTTCAAAGTGATCTCTCTGAATGTATTTGTATTGATTTTTAATGTGTTCTATAGTGTGCTCCTCTTGTGTCTAGCCATTGAACCTCACAGGCTTTTGTTTCTTCCAAAATGGGCACCTCTTGTGTTTACCTCTGTAATAATGGTAGTGTTATTAGTCTTGCCTTTTTGTGCACTAACTTAATAAACTTACTTGATACCAATTCTTGTTCAGTGCCTTATTCATTCAAGCGTTTTAAGTATATTGCATATTTACAAAATAACATCAAAATGACAAATTTCCAAACAAAAACAATAGTTCTGATTCATTTCAGATTTATATTTGTTTGAATAAAGGATTAATGTCATGTATATTTACTGATTTATTTCAATGTAAAATTTATTGAAAAGAAGTGCAGATGCACCACTGAAACCAACTAAGTGTCTGTCTTCCTGTGATGCTGTGTGTTTATCAGGACTCCAGTCATTCTTAGCTCTGAAGTAAGTTTCTTGGTTGTGTCTTGAGTAGTTACTGGGTCTGCTTTTATGGGCAGCAGTCTAGTTCCCCTGGCAGGACGGGCCACAGTAGCTGTGTGACCTCGTTCTGGTCTGTGCAAACCCACCAAAAGGTCCACCTGTCGTGGATACTCTCCGATTTTGGCCCCAGTTAAACACAGATTTGGTGAGACAGGGCTGCGTTTTGCAAGTGTCTTTTTTGAGGAACAGGTGTTTTGTCTGTGACCTGAGTCAAAGTCGCTTACTAGACCTTGTTTTTTGTGCAACACTCCTTTTCCTCCTTTTGTTACAGCATCTGGTGTGGTAATGCAGAAGCCAAGAAACTCATCAGTCTTTAACTTGCGGGGGATGTTTAAAGTATCTGAAGAGCCTGTCAGCACTTCTAAGTTAAGAGAACCATGTGAAGGGGCAGTTTTAGAGTTCCTGTCCCGCAGTGCCACTCCTGGGATAAACAGATCCTTTAAGCTATGTTCTGGTTTGGCAAAGTCATTGGAAAGGCAAGAGGCCAACTTATGGGAGGTCTTCCTTTCACTGGTTCCCCAAGTCAAGGGATTATAAATGACATATCCATCCAAGGGGCAGGAGTTCAACTTCCGCAGGATCCCGTCCACACAGTCCATATGGAACTGAAGTGTGTGTAAACATGTGAGGAGGAAAGGAAGCAGAGACAGAGAGGGGGCTCAATCTAACAATGTTTTTGTACATTTTGTAACTATGTTTCATTCATTAGGGTTTCCATTCAGATTCTTGCAGATGTTAATATACAGATTTAGGAATCAAACTCTCAAGTTGTTAGATTTATTCTGTGTTGATTGTGCGTCATGTTTTTCTATATTTTCCACCGGGCTGTCATAAATCATAATACAACCACTATGCAGCCCTGACCCTTGTTGGAAAGTTAAAAATAACAGCTATATTTCCATTTTCTATGATTTTGTGTTAAGCTTTTTTAAATGAATGATTTCGGTGAACTGAATTAATATGGTGATCACAAATTTAGAATTTATTTTTATTTATTTTTTTGTTTGTTAAAACATCCTATCAGATATCTGGTCTGGCCAGAGGTTCATGATGTTCTGCAAAAGGTATTTCCTTGAACGTGGGCAACCTGCCACTAGAAAATGCTACTTCTATGGATGGATATTTATTTCAGATTCTAAGTGCTGCCAGCAGGAAAGCCATCACTCCAAAATGAATGGTTAAAAACCAGATACACCTTCTGTGGATGATTGGGTTGACATTATTTATGAAATCTTTAGGATGGAAAGAATTACTTTATATATCAGGTTGCAACAGGAATATGGGAAAGATGGATAAGGTACATAACACTATTTCTCTTGTAGACCCTATTTTATAAAGGGTTTTGAGTATCATGCAGGTACACGATAACTTTTTGTTTGTTTGTTTGTTTGTTGTTGTTTTTTTAAGTTATTTGGATTGGTTATGTATTGTATTTAAATTATTTTTCTTCTTGCATGCCTATAATTTAATTTACTTCACTGGTCCTAAATTGTTTCTGTATATTCTATTTTGACCGATAACAGTCAATAAGATTCATTATTTTTGTTTGCAACTGAGTCTCATAGAAGGCTTTAAATGGATCATGAAGTAATACATTAAAAAAAATTATTAAAAAAAACCCCAAAAATAACTTCATGTCAGATAATGCAAGTACACACAGACTCCAGTCTTACCTTATGATTACAAGGCAGAGTTCGGACACGGTGACCCAGGGTAAAATTCTGTAGACAGATCCGACACTGCTGTCCCTCGTCCAAGAGCATGGACCCCGATCTCACCCTCACAGTAGGCAGACACCCCAGCACATTTTCTGGTAGAAGGTCTGCGGCAACAGGGATGATGCTGGGGATCGAGATGGGAAATAGTGAGGAAGGAACTGTTATTTTTCTAACCAAGAATTGTTTTGTCTGACGTTGTGCTTGCCTGTGGAAACAGCATTTTTACTGATCAAACATATTTGATTATACTGCTAAGATGATTTTCTACTCCATCTTATTATCACCCTCGGAAAACCATCAATGTTCAGCGTTAACCCGGCATTCTTCATCTACCAAAGATGAAACAGATTTTCTGGCTGATTTTCAACAACTCACCTGTCATTTGCTGACTGAGAGGCCGCTCCCTTTGGTTCATCTCTCAGGTCCTCTGCCACAAAATGCCACTTGTCTCCTCTTTTCTGTTTGAAGTATATTCAGTGCTCGGTGAGTTGAGATGCTTGAACATTTTAGTTCACAGTGTGGGATATTGGCTGATGCAAGTATGTGTTTCAAAGCTGAATGCATATATATATATATATATATACGCTTACTGTTCGTGAAGCAAACTGATGCTGCGGGTGGCAGCCTTTCTTTGAGCAGTCCTCACACAAATAGAAGTAACTGCAGACTATGCATCTGAAAAAAAATAAAAACATGAAACGGATACAGTCACTTAAAATGCACCGCAAAGTACTGGGAGACTCTCACTATACTTCAAATAATATAATCATGTTGTTCAATACTGACAACTGACACAGCAAAAAAATGGACTAATGTTACACACAGATATGACTACCATAAGCTTACTTGAAACATTTGCCAGTGATAGGGCAGACCTGGCAACCGTTACAGAGAACTCCCAGGTGCTTGCCTGGCTTCTCTCTCTCAGCAGCAGTGAAGAGCTTTGCTGCGTTTTTCACCTGCTCCTGGAGTAACTTCAAAGAGCCGAAGTCCTCCCTGCACAGAGGGCACTTCACCGTTTCTTCCCTGTCAGAGAGCTTCTGGTGATCTGCCCAAACTTTCATGCAAGAGATATGGACGTTATTGCCACAACCGAACCTGGGAGAAAAACAAGGACAGCGTGTTCTTACAAACAAGCACGGAATATCTGTCACCAAAATGCAGGAAATAAAGATTTCATTTCGTTTTGTTGTGTTTGAATGATGTGTCCTCTTCTGTCAATATCAAGGGATTTGAACCAAATTTTATTACTTCCTAAAATCTGTGCTGGCGGTTTCCGCCAAACATGCCCTATGTCAACAGCTGAAAGTGCTACAGTGCGACAGACCACTCTGTACTCTATGAGGTCATGTTCAGGCCAGTAGTACAACAAAAGTTGACTAGAACATCTTACATCACCCTGAAGCATGACCGTACTGTGACAACAGTCTGACACCCCGACCCCAGCCTGACCACAGCTGCCTACACACCTGCAGTAAGACACAGGCTGTTTTTTCTCCAGCAGCTCCTCTTGACAGATTGGACACACATCCTGGGCTTGGATCACCTTCCGGCAGACACTTCCAGCCTCCTGGTTTGTGTCTGGTTGGCTCGAGGTCCCAGAAGCAACAGAGGAATCATTTTCCATCCGGTTGGCTTTGGTTTGGTGTAAACCATGGAGCACCTCCGATATCTGTCTCTCCACAAGTCCGTGTTGAAATGAATCTAGAGCAGTTATTTTAATAATACACATCAGGAGGAGGATATGTGCAAGAGTGGGTCAGTTTTTTTTCTGTTTCAGTATTAATGTGAAAGACTTCACAGCATGAAAAAGTATTGTGTAAGGAGTCTAAAATATCAGCTTTATGATGTACATATGAAAAACGTGTGGGAATTATAAAACACTCTTGCTCTAAGCTAAAGGTAGGGACAACAGGGGGTTTGATGAACATTCAATTTTTCTGAAAAATACAGGCCATTTTTCCAAGAACCATACTTGACCAATGGGTCACACAATGAAATCATGCCTGAACTGAAATGTAGAGAATGCAATCATCTTTAATTTGTCAAAACAACTTACACTCATGTTCTCTGGGTAGTCTGAATTTCCGCAGTAAAACCCTGTTATGAAAAATATTAGAGGTTCATTCAAGAGTTAGTAGCGCTCACATAAAGTGAGTATGTATAAACACAAATTAAGTCATTTGTAGGCCTGGATATCATTAGAATTTTCTCAAACATTCTTTTTGTAATTGGAACTAAATTATTAAAGAAAATATCTACAATATATACAACATCTACAGCTATCTTCACATAAGAGCCACACCAGGATTTTAAATAAAATACCAAACAAAATAGAGTAAAAAACAAAACAAAATAGAGTAAAAAACAGAGTAGATAGCCAATTCCAGTTATCAAGTTCTGCAAAAAAATTTCCACAATAGATGGTCTAGCAGATTATGTCTAGGCAGCAAGTGTTCACTCCACATGCTGCACATATACAAAAGATAAAAAATAAAACAAAGAAAAAAGAGTCATATTAATGCATTTAATCTCATGCTGTGTTAATCGTTTTCTGTGTGTTATTGATACCAGCAGATGTGTTTACATGGCTCCTGCTCCTTGATGAACACCGGGCAAGAGCACGTATGTGGGTCACCCAAACACACCTGAACAATGTGAACAACAGAACATATTGGAGTGTGGATCCAAATCATTTTTGAGACTCGATACATCCTGAATCATAGAATGATTTACCTTGAAGTTTCTGGCCTCTCCCTCCTCTTTGAGCAGAAATCCCGTGGGGCCGTAGGATTTCAGGAGGAATATAGTTGTGTTGAGGGCTTGGTCCTGGTGGAAACCCACTGCATCACTGACTGTGTTCCTCCAGGCAGGTTTCCTGAACATCCTGTCAATGCAGAATAAATGTACTAATCAATAATCTACCCTGTAATAATGAAAATGAGAGTACACGTATCTAAAACTGCCAGGAGGGTAAATGTCTAAACACACCTGGATAAGTCCAAATAAAGGGTGCTGTGGATAAAACATCTACGATATGTTTTGTTCACCTTGAGTACTTGTTTATTACTGTTGAGATACATCTTGGAATCGATAGCTGTTTTTCTTTATCTTCATACTCACCTTACAGTTATAAAGTCGCTCAATAACAAAAACAAAAGAACACGAGTAAGAAATAATCATTGTGTATTTACCTGTATCTTCTTTTTTTTAGGTTAAGCCACAATTTATCCCATTTTAAGACAGCAAAACGACGGTTAACTTGAGCCCGACATTACCTTGCTGTGTTTTGATAAGGCTAAATTAGCAGCAGCTGTCGAAAACTTCCGGTTAATTCTAATATCCAAAACAAGTCAGTTGGGATAGAAAACACGGCAACCTATTCAGTTTGATAAACTTAACCAAACAAGGTGTGCACAGCTGGAAAAACTACCTGTCTTTTTTCAGTAAATTGAATTACTGAAGACCAGCCGCAACTTCGTTGACTTGAGGTGCAAATGTCTAAAGAACGCCGTAGTCATAGTAACCAAACTGCTGCCATGGATATTTTGAACTGCAGAGGGCGCCAGGGATAAAAAGAAATTTCAAAAAATAGAACCTTCAGTGCTGATAAGTCCAGTTTCTAGCACTGGATTTCCACCAGTTATGTAGTACAAGAGCATCTCTTCTGCATAATGTATATATACAAATATTCTGTGTCCTGCTGTTTAAATTAAGCAACAGTTTGCTCATGATTTGCAGAACTCAGACCCTAAAGATCATGACTTAACATTTGCATAGTGTGTGCTAGATAGTATAGAAAAATAGTCAATACACTACAAAACCAATATACTGCAGAAAAGGTCTTATCCATCCAATAACTTTCTTTTTTTTCAATAGACAACAGTAAAAGCATTTTCTGTCAGAGATAAGCATCATTATTTTAATATTCTGCATTTCATTTTTTACTCTTGCGCTCATCTCATAAATCTACAGATACATAAAAATTAAAATGGTAACTTACATTTAAAGAAGCAGAAGACCTATGTAAGCAAAGTAACAGGTTTGTCCAATAAACTAAAGCCAGTAAGTTGCTTTGCAGAACTCAGACCCCAACAATAACTTAAAGTACACTAAACTTGACTTATAGTATGTATGACATATAATAAAAATGATCAAATTAAATGGGTATGAATTATTTCAATGCTTTGTGATGTCCATTACACTGTAGGGATGTCCCCCTGTGTGGCTGCACAAAAGACAAGCATGTGATGTCATCCACAGCCCCCGTCAGGTTTTATCAGGACAGCTCAGTGTTGCTTCTGACTCTGGTGCAAAACACACAAGCTGAAGGAGTACTCTTGACGAAATTACGAAGACTGTATTGCATTGTTTTTCTTTTCCTGCAAAGGCAAACTCTCGGACTGAAGGATTACTCTTTGAGACCTGGCAAACACTGTGTTTTAATAGTTTTTCTGCTCCTGCAAAGGTAAGTTTAATACTTACAGTTTTTCAGCAAGTAGGCCACATGGTTACTGTTCAAGCACTGTGACTACAGTGCTGAAAACAGGTTAAATGTTTATTTTTGAGTGTCATACTATCTATCTATTATTAGATTTTATACTTATTGTTATGTTAGGTTATGTTGTGTTGCAGGGCACATGAATGCACACATGAACATTAAGGCGTTAAATGATAAAGAATCAAAACCATAGATCAAAATATATTTTACAATGTTTTACAGTTAAAGAGGGCAGCTGGAAAACCAATAATCTGTTTATTTCGTGATAAATCTAAAAGTTCTATTTTAAAAACAGTAATATCTTTCAAAGGGGCACTGATTTCCTGGACTCATACCTGCCTCTTTGAAAGGGCATTAAACATTGATCCCCTTCAGATGTTGATCTTTTTCACATTACAACATTATTTATTTAGGCCTCCAGGTACTCCAGATGTAAAGTAAGGAGAATTTAGTGTGAATATATCGCGAGTTTGCAACAGTTCCTGAATTTCCTGCTTTCTCTAACGTACTAAAAAGCAAAAGAATGTTTCCAATATGGAATATGTTCATCCCACTTACAATTCTGTCACACCTAACACCAAAAAGCTGTTCACATGGCTAACATAAAGTGGTGAAAAGGCATTTCCTGGGCCAATGTGTTTGTAATAAAGGGTACTTCTCATGGAAAAGTGTGTAAATCCTAACGTTCTGTCATAGATGGCCCACATAATAAGGGAGTAACTTCACTATGCGTTATTAAATGTCTGTGTTGGCCATTAGGGAGATATACTGTGTGTCTTTGGGTGTGTTCAAGAAGATATTAATCTCTTAAACTGACAGAGAGTTCCTGAATTAACAGGCAGGAGAGCTGAATATGAATTAAGGTTGTTGGTCTGTGTCACGATATTATATCACAACTGCTTTTTTATTGCAAATGAGAAGCCAACAATTTGTTATGTGTCACTGTCGTACTGTAACATGACTGAGAGTGCAAAGTGATAAAGATTTTGACTTTGTGAAGGATACAAAGTTAATTTTAAATGACAAGATGACAATGCTTTTACAGAAATGAGAATTTAAAGATTTTTTTTATAGTGTATAATGTGCGATAGAGACACATGTCGCTTCTCCATGGACTCTGCTTTATGCTTTATCACACTGTGGGTACATTACATAACATAAATTGAATTCCACCATCTTTTCACAATATTATGAGCAATATGTTGCACATTACACTACAATAAAGTTGCCGGTTGCATATGTCTCACATCCTACAGTAATTGCTTAACATTTAGATCAGCATATGAAGCATTTATTGAGCTGACAAATACTTTTTGTAAGTGAGTTTGCAGCACATGCTCTTACTGTATTTGCCATATTGACAACTTTTAGGCTATACATTAGTTAAACTTGCTCAACAGGCATAATAAGCGTGCAGGAAGGAAGCTGTGGAGAACAGAGGAAGCAAAAGGCCACGTCTGTAATGTACAAAAAGGAGAGACCTGCCATTACAAAATAAAAACAACATGGGATTGGAGACATAGATCTACTGTTTACAGAACAAGGTTACAGTTCTGGACTTCTTTAGGAACATTTTTGAAACAGTTTGAAAGTAGAACTGAGTTGTATTTATGTTTATTAATTAGATGTTGCCATCTTCCTTCGATCAAGTCAAACACACAAAAACAAATTCCACTGACAGACGATACAATAATATACAATAAAACATGCACGTTTAGCCTCTTGTGTACGACATGCCAGCATCTCAAAAGTGTCAAACTAAGTCATTGTGATAAAAACCTTTTTAATACTGAAACTATCTAAAAATAAGATCCTATGAAGTACAATAATACTGATGGAATTACACATTTCAGATTGTATGGGTATGACAGCGCAGAGCACGTGAACCAGATGTTGAATCCAGCTCCTGTCAACACGAGCAAGTGTTGGATTCATGTTAGCAGCTGCTGCAACTCAGGAAGCATTATTCTCATTGAGCTCTGGGGGAAACTATTTGGGATAGTGTTGAAATTTTTACCTGTTCCTCCAGATTGCATAAAAATAACATTCAGTGAAACATTAAAAATAACATCTAGTCTGACGGACTGAACCTGTCCTCAGTGTTTGGTTTTACATTCAAGTCATCAGTGTGTGTCTCTCTCTCTGTGTATGTTTCTTGTACAGAAACAGATAAAGTATTAATATTCCACTTTTTTGTTTTCTTAACTACAAACTAACCATGAAGATCAGAGCACAGATGGACCTGAAATGCCTCATGTTTCTTCTGGTGCTGTGCTCCCTCAATCAGGTAACCCTCTCAGATATGCTGCTTTCACTGTATATGTCACCTTCACAAATTCAGGAAAGACATTCCTGTACTGTATGTTCCCGTTTGTTTGTGTAGCTTCACCCTTCATTCATTTTTACATCATCCAATGAGTTTTAAGGCAATTTTATTAGATCAATATCTTAATTCATTTATATTATTATTATTTATTCTTTTATTTAGTTGTTTAGGTTTCTGTATTTTGAAAATTGATCAAAAGTGATGCAGCAGAGCCTGAAATATCCAGAAATTAACGTCCTGATATGAGTCAAACTTGTTCCTACACCTCCCATAATGCAACTAGAGAGTGTGTCATGTAAGACTGCCTGGTACATGTCCAGGTCCTCATGCTCCATGTGTAATATTCTCAGACTGTTGTGTCCCTTTAAATGAGACTTGAATTCACAGTTGCTGTAGATGTGCTCTGATCTCATTGACAGTTGCATCATGTGTCATTTTGCACTTTTGTGCATCTGTGTGTGTGTGTGTGTGTGTGTGTGTGTGTGTGTGTGTTTGCATGCTGCACTTCAATAATGTCAGCTGCTGGTGGCGGTGGCAGGCCCCGAAGACGAGTACCAGACACATGTGAACCATCAGGTTGAGCATCAGTCCACACGGAACAAAATCACCACCGCCCAGTATGAATGTTTCCAGAGGATCATGAAAGAGTCACACCGTCCATCAAAAACTATAGGTGAGGAGAACATGTCAAAGGCTGTGGTAAAGTATTTTCATACTATAATCTATTGCATACCAGCATTCAGTCCCACTGCTGTGTTACTGAGTGCATCCTCTGTTGTCAGCAGGGCCAATGTGCAACACAACATGGGATGGATGGCTGTGTTGGGATGCAACTGAAGCTGGCCTCACGAACCAGAACTGTCCAGACTACTATGATGACTTTGACACTTCTGGTGAATTTCTCCAGCCTGCTTGATTTCTGTCTATTCAGTGACAATCATTTTGCACATTTACCAGCTTAAAATATAAAATGACCCCCTATATACCAACAATAACAACAACTTTCTGAACAACAACAACAAGTTCAATTTCTGTGTATTTAAAGTTCAATTTCTGCTCTCTGGATGATTTTTAAATTGAGGGACCTTTCTGATTATGCACTTTTCCTTTAATGTGAAGGAATAGTCCAACATTTTGGGAAATATGCTCAATTGTTTTCTTTCTAAGAGTTAGACTGTACCACTCTCATATCTGTGTGTTGAAGCTAGGAAGTGGTTGTGTTAGCTTAGCATAAAGAGGTATGGGGAAACAGCTAGCCTATATCTCTCCAAAATAAAAAAAAAAGCATTCATCACCTCTAAAGGTTAGGCTTCCAGTCTTGTAACTGAGCTAGGCTAATCTGCATCCTGTTGCAGAATGCTACAGTTACCTGAAATAAAAAACGCAACCTCAAACCATTATCAAATTAAAATCTAAAATAGAGACTTTTGTGTTTTTGCAGCTTGTTTCTAAGTTTTCACTCCTCTAATTTGTCAAACAGCGGTGGCATCCAAGGTCTGCACAGAGACCGGCGAGTGGGGACGCCACCCGGAGAGCAACAGAACCTGGACGAACTTCACAAACTGCAACGTCAACGATGCACATCACAGGAAGGTAAGAAGGAAATAAATACATCAAATTAGAGCAGCTTCCTTGTCTGTGTGTTTGCGGAAAAAATGTGAAGTTGTATTCATTTTGTTGCAGGCAGTCATGACTCACTTCTACTTGGTTATGATTGGTCAAGGACTGTCTCTGGTGTCTTTGCTCATATCATTAGGAATATTCTTCTATTTTAAGTAAGTGCAGCACAGCTTTCTTTATTTTACTTTTCAGTTTCTTCTCTTAAAGCCGTATGTTCTTTATTGTGTAAAATAATTTGGTACAACTTTCTAATAAAGCATACTTTACTCAGGGTTTATAAGCTATAAATGATTATCCAGTAAGGTTGCCAAATACTGACACACAGTAGAAAACAGGATTTAAGGGAAATCATAAAGCTAGATGTTAAATTTCAGGGCATAAAATGTCATATCATGTCTTTAATGTGTCTCTCCTTTTCTGCCGCCCTCAGAAGCCTGAGCTGCCAGAGAATAACGCTCCATAAAAACCTCTTTTTCTCATTCGTGCTGAACTCAGTCATCACCGTCATCTGGCTGAAAAAACAGGAACACATGGACAACGACACTGTGAGTGATTTGACTCAATCTAAATCTGATATCTGCCCCGATATGATTATATTCCACAAAAAGAACACGGTGCTCATGTTGCTTTTTCCATTCCAGGTAAGCTGTAAGCTTGTCATGTTCGTCCACATGTATCTGATGAGCTGTAACTACTTCTGGATGCTGTGTGAGGGAATCTACCTGCACACTCTCATTGTTGTGGCTGTGTTCGCAGAAAAACAACATCTCATATGGTATTATCTGCTTGGGTGGGGTGAGTAAGGATTGTATGTAGATATCTCACTATAAACATTTGACTTGTCTTAAACCCAAATGTCATAAATGTTCTAATTTGATTTCGCAGGTTTCCCACTGGTGCCATCGGTGATACATTCAATAGCACGCCACTTCTACTACAATGACAAGTGAGCATCTCCAAAGATATTGTTGTAAATAAGTCACATTTATCCACATGGTACTGCTATAAAGTGATGAACTGATCCGTGCTTTCACAGATGTTGGGTCAGCTCAGATACTTCCTTGCTGTACATTATCCATGGCCCCATCTGCGCTGCACTGGTGGTAAGCGCTGAACTCCTGCGGGAAATCCAGACTTGCCTTTTACTAATGATATAGAACCATAATAGACCATACTATGGTCTGTTATGTCATTAGTTTGGGGGGAAATAAACATATTGTGTGACAAAAAAAAGATCTTAAAGTCCACTTACTAGCTTTTTCTGCTACTTTTGTAGCCAACTGTTATCACATGACTGAAGCTCTACACTTGATGTGCAGTTAAAAGCTCCTAGAAAAAGCTAGAAACTGATAAAACGCTATGAGGTTAAAGTGCTGACAGTCAACGCAGTAGCACTTTTCATATACATATCCCCACAGTCTTAGGTAACACAAAGTGTTCTGACAAGGTAAGATACAAATAAATGAAGTCATCGTATTAATATCTAGAGTCACTGGCTGGCTGTGGACTGTTGGTATCTTCCAGATGTGTAGTCGCATGTTATATGAATTGGACTCGAGTCGGACTTGGGTTCGCTGATGACTTTAGGCAATCGTCTGCTGCAATCAACAATGAACAGAATGCATCTCGCAAAACATTTGGCTCAGAAATCACAAATCATTGTATTGCTGCGAGAAGGGAGCAGAATAATAAAGACTGGACTTGAGACCTCATGTCCCAGACCGGAGACTTACTTCCCCAGTGATAATCAGAGAGGTCAGGTACGCTGCCATTTGCACCTCTTGTTGTTTTGGCCTCTTTTTACCTTCAGTCTGGTCACTGTGAAGTTGGATTAAGGACATGTGACTGAATTAATTCCCCTCTTCACCCCCCCCCAGATGTCAACAATGGAAATAATTTCACTTTCATATTTCTTTTTTTTTTTTTTTAATCTTTTTTCTTACTTGAACTACACTTTGAACTACATGGACTCAAACTGCCATGGAGTCCTTGGAACCAACTGAATCTAATCACAGCCTTATCAAAGTGAAATAGCTATCTGGTTTTATGCTGCATGGTTTCAGTGGCTTGTTAATCAGCGGACAGTTCTGTCTCGCATCATTCATTCTAGTTAAATCATTTGAAATGAGAGATCTTGGTGGTAATTCTGAGGTCTGGAACCAGGCTGCAACACAACCGTAAACACAGTATATTTAACTTTTTATGCTGTAAAACTGCATCTATCAGATGGTCCAGCATTTCCTTCATGTCAGGCCTTTCCTGATTTAATGTGCTGCCTTCTTAACTGCAGGTGAACCTTTTCTTCCTGCTGAACATCGTTCGGGTTCTCATCACCAAGCTGAGAGTGACGCACCAGGCCGAGTCCAGCCTCTACATGAGGGCTGTGAGAGCCACCCTCATCCTCATCCCGCTGCTCGGCATCCAGTTCGTCCTGGTCCCCTACAGGCCCCACGAACACTGGGCCTCTGAGATCTACCTGTACATCATGAACATCCTCATGCATTACCAGGTCAGTGCATATGTGCAAGGAGTGATTGCACTGAAGAGAGAAGAAAAAACACCCTTTTTCTCCCTTTTTTTTAATGCAACTAAATTGAAATTAGTATTAGTAAAAGCTCTATTTTAAGTATAGACTTGATCCATGTGAAAATATCCTCAGTAATGATGCAATGGTGGTGTAAAATTACAAATATTTTCAGGATAGGAGCATGAACATGTGACACTGTTGACCTCTGCAGCTGTTTGAGCTTAAAGGATTTCCCCCCTTGTGTATTTTCTCAAGACACTTCTTTTTTTTTCCCCCCACATGCAGGGTCTCTTGGTTTCTACAATATTCTGCTTCTTCAACGGGGAGGTGAGCACAATGAGCTTCATTCAGCATTTTATTAATGATGGCATCTCCTTTTTCAGAATTCGATTTTGAATTTGTCACGCATTTTAATGTGAGTCACAGTTAATAAATCCACTGGCGTCTCAGCCCAATTAAACTACAACAACATGCCAAATTTAATGGGGTTTTTTTATGCTGTGTCACATTTTATTATATTTTTTATCACATATGTGCCTGCTACAGATATGTAAGGTAGTGAAGAACATTTTGTTTTTTCCTCAAGACTCAAAGAAGATGAAGTTTTGACATTTGTGCACCAAATATTTTTTTTTTTTGCTTTCCTCTTTTCAAGCTCTACAGCCGCGCATTGATTCATAGTTAAGATAAAATGTCAACAGAGTGACCTTTTTAACCCGTAGGCCGTTTTGGGCCGTCCGTCTTACATCCCCTTTGTGTCTTTGTTTTGTTAGGTCCAGAGTGTTCTGAGGAGACACTGGAACCAGCAGCGGATGCAGCTCGCCGGCACATTCGCCAACGCCGACTTCTTCCGCTCGGCCTCCTACGTGGCATCATCGCTCACAGAGGTCCACCGCTGCTACAGTATAGAAAGCCACACCGAGCACATGAATGGCAAGAGCTACCCGGACATATTCAGATCGGATAGTCCTTTTGTGTGAAGGTGGCCCCTCGGGAACTTAAGGCACTGCCCTTCTTTTTTTTTTACTTTTTTTTTTTTTTACATTTTCTTTTGTTACCAAGAGTGATGTTGATGTTTTCTTGGAGTTTTGCTACTGTTAATGACACCTCCGTAGCTTCATACCTTTGACATTTTTCCATCTCCCAGCCAAACAAAAACACGCAAACAAAAAAAAAAAAAGAACTCACATTTTATTACTTTTACCAAAACAGAAGGAGCTTGACACCAAAAAAATCCCACGAATATTCAAAAGGGGACTGTTGACAGACATGAGGACGAATCAACTAGTCTCAATATTTGGCATTAATACAAGGAATTAATGCAAATTTTTTTTTTTTTTGTATCGTGTGGAATAAACCTGAAGAGCCCCTCTGTGAGCGAGACGCTGTTCTAATGAGCTTGACGGTTGAGATCTTTCAAAGAGGGAAGTTGTGACTGTCTGGGCACATAACTCTGTAGCAGTTCCTGCCACGTCACGCCTTCAAGACGGGAAAGGAACAAAGCACCATGATTTCTGTGGGTAGTAGTGATTAGAACTACACCGAGTGGACATGGAAATCTAAAAAACAAACAAGTAAAAGTACAATTACAGACACGAAAATAAGAAATAAACAGCTAGCTCGCAGTGCTACATGGCATTTCTGCATGTTAGCCACTTCTGAATTGACTCTTCTATTTATGTGTAATATCCTCTTTGCTAAGTGAAACAAATAATAAGGTTCACAGTACAATGTTGTCAGAAACATACGCTTACATTGCGTGGCTTAGCAGCAGCAACAGTACCCTCTAAGTTAATGTTCTGCTAGGCGTCACTGTTTTTCACTTCATATCTGATAATTCCAAAATGCTGGAGAGGTGACTGTGAGAGGGGAACAGGGAGTGAAGAGAGCATGGGTTTGTACATATATTTGATTGTGTGTGAGTATGACACATATCAAGGCACAAACTATGAATTACTACATTGTATTTAGACTGCCATTAGTGTACTTTGTATATTTTTCCAGTCAGTCAGGAGCATATCACTGTAAGCCATGTAGTCAAGCCCCATAAACCACAGCTTGTTTGATTATAAAGTGAGAAGAGCAGAGATTTCATGTCCCATGTTTTAGATGAATCTTCAGCAGGAACTGACTTTTATTAATTCACTGTCTGTCACCTCCAGTTAGAGATGAGAAGTATATTTCCTGATGAGTGAAGAGCTGCTGGTTTCAGCCTTCAGATACGGGAATTACAGGCCAGTCTCTCCTGCAGCGCTAATAACTTATTGTAATGTTATAAATCACTTAAAAGAATTAATTTGACAATTTAGGAAACATGCTTATTTGCATTCTTGTGGAGAGTTAGATGAGGAGATTGCAAGACAGCGGGTAAGCATTATTAATTATCATTATAAACATATGATGGAATCACAGAATATTTACAAGACTGGATGATTACATGATTTCTACAGTGATTTCTGCACTCTCGATATCACAGGTGTTGTATTTAGCAATTAAAGAAACCTCAGATACAACCTGGGTGTGCTCAGTAGTGGGTCCACAGTCAGATATTTACTGTATGTTACACTGGACATAGCTAAATACTGTATGTGTCACTTTGTCTCGGCTCTAATGTCGGTTTGGTGTCATTCATTTCTTTAAGCGATAGCTGGGTCCTAGGCCCGAGTCTGGCCAGCATCTGGCCGGATTCTGGCAGCCGGCGAGATTATCTGCAGCATGCGCACCAAAATCGGCCCAGATGTAGAAACAACATCTCACATCTGACAAATATATATATACTGTATGTGCTAAAATGTTATAAAATTCAAGGTTCACTTAATAGATTTCTCTCGAGCTTTCAAACTTATTCTACGGCCTTTTTCAGCAAATTAAACTAAAATATTTAAATATTTTATCACAGATGAACCTTGATGTTAAAAAATATGTATAGTTTCCCAAGGTTGGGGCTCATTCTCATTTTTGTACCATAGTTTTGTCATAAAATTCAGTTGATGCTTGTTTATACTGAAGTAATAATTCTGTAAATAAAAGATAAGGTGTTTAAACTGAGATTCAGTACAAAGAGTCACTATAATTGTGTTTATATTTGAGTGTTATTCTGTATGGTGCAGTTTTAAAACACAGACAAAGGGAAGAAAATATGTAATTGTATTTTTTTTTTCTCCCACATATCTAATTAAGGGTGGGATTTCCTTGTCTGACCTCAGAAAATGTTTCCCACTGAAATGAATATTGTTTCCAGACAAAGACGGGCGTGTTAGTGTCTGTTCCTCGTCCAAAACATATGCGGACAGGTACAATTAGGAAGTCCCAAAGGAAAAGTGCTATATTCATCCTTTCAGTTCATCATTTATCAAGTGCAAAACGGACAAGCTGCAAAAGAACTTACCGTGCCACTCCAGATGCAAAGAACACATAATGATCAAAAGCATGTGTGCACTGTATGTGACCATTAATCATTACAAGTAATTGTCCTATTTACGAGCTACTTGCACGCCTGTCGTAGTCATGACCTCAATCCACAAAAGACTGGGAATTTTTGCGCAACGCTTTCAGCATCATCACAGTAATCACAAGAACATCCCCTCCCATGTTTCTTTGTGCAGAACACTAAACATCTGACATTTTCACAGAGCCAAAACCACACTTTTAACTTGCATCCTGTCACATCAGCACGAGAGATGGTGTAGTATCCTGTGTGAGTTGCGATGGCACACATTTCCTTCAACACAGAGATTAAAAATAATGCAGAAAAACTCAGCTCGTACCTGTGATCGCTCTCAGTTAAGATGTTTTTGTTGTTTACCTATCACAACAACATCTGATAAACCCCACCGCCCTTTATTTACCTCTGTGGAAATCAGACCGGTGGATGTATTGCAGGCTTCCTGTTTCTAAGAATACATTGCCATTGAACTCTTGATCCATCAGCTCTTGTGTGCTGGTAGTAAACACTTCCTCACTCTCATGACTAACACTTGTTTACTGCTTTAACTTCCGCGTGCTTCCACCGAAACTTGAAGCATGTAGCCGATGTTTTATGCACAGAGGGGTTTCTAACATATGAGTCGGCAGCACTTCTTTCCACAGGACACGGCTGTGAATAGAGACACAATATGCCTCACATGCTCCCCTGCATGGTAACACGTATATGCCGAAATGAAGTCCTAGAAAATAATCACACAGATCTGCTCCCCTGCTCTTTAATTTGCTGTAGCTGACGCACTAGTCTGGAGTAATTTCCCCTGAGTGTCAAACAGACCATTATGAACTTATGTAACACACAGTGACTCAATATTGAATTAGACTTCATACATTCCTGGGGGTTCTAGATGGTTCCAACAGTAATCAATAGCAGGAATAGATACACAGCTTAAATCTAGCAGGGAGGTTTTATAGATAGGTACACAGGTTAATCGGGCCACAGTGGGAACAATAAAAAGTAGAAGAAGAAGTACATGTGGGGCTTTGTAGGGGTTCGATTTTAAGAAGCAGCAAGCAAAGATTTTCTGACTTTTGGTCTCCAGTTTGAGCCAAGTTTTCAAAAAAAAAGCAGGATCCTACATTTCCCACGATGCATCTCGATGTTGTCGTTTTCTTAGACCTTTGCTGCCGAGTAAATGCTCCCCAAGCTTGTAACACAGACGCTTTAAAAATACTTATGCAGAGTGCATCCTGTCAGTAACCTCTGACCACTTATTTAACTGTTAATCTAATCAACAGTGATGCATCACATTCTATAAAGTGGTCCACGCACAGGTGTTTTCAATTATGTCGCCTAATTAGAACACTCCTCGTTACAGTGTGTGCCTGTACAAACTACACTTTATTGGTTTGTCTTTTACCCTTCTGTTGGCTGTGTTGTGCGTTCCCGTTAACTGATAAATATGATTAATTAATCCTTATAATCTTTATGAGTCTGTCGCCATTGTGAGCCACTGGGGATTCCTCTTTCATTTTTATGTTAGGAAGCTTTGAGGGTTCGTTTCACCACAATCCCTCCAGCTGCTCTGACAGAGTGAAATACACAAGGCTCCCATTGTGAAATAAACACTTTCCCACCTCAGAGTATTCGAGGGATTCAGGTGGAAATGATTTGGAGGTTGTTCTAAAACACTAGTGTCACTGATATCAGGGCTAAGCAGAAAAATCCACCCGAATCTTCAGCTGTATCCATGTTCTTACACCGTGTCACAGAACATGAAGTAGACACTTGGCTTTCTGAGTTTGAGTTCGATTGTGTTTTTCCTTCCCCGATAAAGGAAACTTCCCATTTCCCATTTTTCATCAGCGCAGGTCCACAATCGGGAAAAGCCTCGGTTGCACAAGATATGATGCACTTTACCTTGCCAGTAACAGCAGGGGTGGTATGTAAGGAATGCCGGCGAGGTCAACTTTGATTTGTAGAGAGTCAGACACTTTAACAACAGAAGATCTCATCATTGTTTGATGGACTGTTGAGATCTGGAAAATACAGTGCGGAATTAGTCACAGGCAACAACGGCATCTTGTTCGTTACAGCTTCACAAACACGTATTTGATCAGAAACACATTAACTTTTACTCCTTCAGAGGAAGAATGACTCAAGCTTCAAACAACATGCTGAATCAATTTCCAGCCAGCTTCAGTAGAAACCCCCGCTATTCGCAGAAATTTCTGGTCAAACCACGCTCTCTAAACAATGCTTTGCCATGCACTGTTGCACAGATATACACCATACACACATCTGGCCAATAATGTGATCTGGCCACTTAAACATGGGGATGTCTCACTCTTGAGAACAATGGAATGAGTTCTTGGCTGTGCTCGAGGGTGTGGAGGGCGTACAGTACAGGGGTTGGGGTGAGCAATGTGGCCCGGCTGTATGGATGTGACCCGGGCCTGGGTGGGACCGCAGGAAGTCTGCCGCTCACTGCTCGGCCCTTTCGGAGAGCTCTGCAGGGTCATGAATTATCTGAGCAGCTCTTCGCACTGTGATGTCAACACTTGGTCGTCTACTTTGGTGTTTCTGGAGGGTTGTCATGATCAAATGTGTGAATACATCACGTGGAGAGTCCTTTTCCAAAGTGCTAGGAAGGGGCGTAGCGAGGAAGACCCCTGAGAGAACGCTGCTCTGGGTCTGGGATCACTTTTTTTTTTCTTTTTTTTTTTGTCCCCTACAGATATGGACCTCTGTCACCTTTCACCCCAGCTGCAACAGAATCTAAACGGAAAGCAAAACAGAAAAGCCTCCTTTCGGGGATTCAAAACATTTCAATTTTCTCCTTTTATTTTGATCCAGATTTCACATTCAAATTTATGAGGTTTTACATTTCAATGAAGTTTTTAATTTAAAAAGGACAAAATTGCATCATAGCTGGTTCTGGTTTATGAAGCAACACGAGCGATCAGTAAATCAGACAGGTTGTAAATGCAATGCTTTTTGACGCACCCCAACACATTCCTGCAGTCACTTTCTCATTACTCCACTGATGGACAATCGTTCACCTCAAGAGAGAGCGGTACGACGTGCAGCAAAGGTCGTCACGGAGCGGGCTTCAGGGAACCATTTATATCCAATGCAAACATTTAGTGCCAAAGCAGGAGGTGGTGGGCCCTTTATGCAGCACAGCAGACAGTAAGAGTGTGGAGGTAAAGGTGGTCTTTAATGCAGGAGACAATCCGACAGTAGATGTTTTTGTTTCAGTTGTCTAATCTTAACCGAGCTGTTGTTGCCATGCTCAACTTTCATTAAAAGAAACAATAAAAAAAAATGCAATGTTTGGATTGTGCATATAAAGATGTTGTCATCAAACATAATCCCAGTTTTGCAGATTCATCCTGAATTTCTTCCACATGTTATCAGTTACCGTGGTAACTAAAAGTGTTACTTTTTCCAGATAGAAAAGATGCAGAAACCATCCAAGTTTTGATAAACCACAGTCATCCTTTAGAGGGCTGATGCCTCTTCTCGTGATGCGTTCATTCCCTCAGCTGTTTGGTGCAAACTCTGGTGTTTGTGTAGTTGATTCAAGCATCAAAGCCTGTCAATCCTAATCTGCTGCATCCCAAACAACCTGACGAACATGTTCACAAATGAACCAAAATGCGTGGGTCCTTTGGTTCATTTGTAATAAGAGAGTGTGAACATAAATGGACCAGAGCTAAAAGGAAGCAGCATAATTACAGGTGTGAAAGTGACTCATAGGTTCTGATATCTGCATCCCACATAGGGAACTATGATGACATTATTTGCCTTGCAAGCAATTTCACTCTGACATTCATTTGTCACGTCTGGCGGCAAAACATCTAAGACACTTTCCCTTAAAGCGCCAGACATTTGGAATCAAACTCTTCAAAACATTTCAAACAATAAGCTTATTGCAGTTTTAAAGAGCCCAGTTCCTACTGCCCAGGGCAGCAGGCCAGTATCCACTTGTACGAGGCGCGCCGCTGCTCCTGTCTTCAGCATCATCCTGCCAACAGGAACTCCCTCACTCCTCTCCCGCTTTCCTGCCATTGTTCTCCTCGCTGCCACCAGGCACAGGCTCCTCCCAGGATCTGGGAAAAGGTGGGATGTTAAAACGGCCCATTTCCCTTTCGATCAGCTTCGACCTCAGCCGGTGGAGGAGGGGTGCATGTCATATTGTCTGTGTGTGTGTGTGTGTGTGTGTGAGAGTGTGTGTGTGTGTATATAGAGAGAGGCAGCACCCTTGTGAAGAGCTTCACTATCATTTTCAAGTGCAACTATTCTTTTCATTTGTGATTCATGTGAGGAAGACCATGGACTGAAAAGTTTGAAAAGTCCAGTCTGAAAAATAATTACAGTGTGAATATATGTCACTTAATGCCAAACATTCAGGCAGTAATGAAACTCAAAATGTAAAAGCTACGTCCCCTAAACGTGTCCATTAAATGATAAAAATATTATTTAATTTATTATTTACACAATACAACCTGACAAAAACCTGACAAGTGACACATTCAGTAGCCCACTCATGTGGGGCCAGAAGCAGAATGCATAGCAATTAGCTGGAGAGGAAGTGCTGTATAGTTTCCTTTACTGACTGCCGTTACCACAAATGATCCTCCTACAGCTCCTACAGTTTTTCTTTCCTCTCAACCAGCCAAATGGCTACATTTCATTTTCACTGATTTTCAGCTAAATCAATTATATCCAATGAAGCTGCTGCAACCAATCAAGAGGAAGTAAATTTTTTCCATGTTGTCATTAGCTGTGTTGCGCCATCCACTTTTATTTAACCCCCCCCAGACTGTGTATAAACTACTCCACAAAGGAGGATGGTTTGCAGATGAGACAGGAGTTAATGGTACAAAGGTGTCTTTTAATGAAACAGTGTCGACTTCAGCTTTAGTAGTCATCACTCTGTTTTTGGTCTCCACCATGTCCTGAGGGAAATATCTGGCTCCCTTAGCTGCTAAATGCTCCACTATTTCACCAGCTGATCTCTGACTGTGTCTGTCTGCTGTTCTTCTGCCGAGCAGGGAGTGACAACTGAAGCAGCTGAAAACACAGAAAGCGACGCTGTGAGAGTGAACCAAAAACAATAAAGTTGTGGTTAAACAGTGCTTGAAGCTCCATAAAGCTGAGGGGAGCTTCACAAGTCCCAGAACAGATCAAGCTGTCACCATGATACTAATACACAGTCGTGGAAATCATAACAGATTAGTTTCATTAATGTGCAGAAATCCTTGTTTAAATTGATAAAATGTCCCATCTAGGAAAGCTGAAGTTTAAATCTGCATGGAAACTTAACTGATCACTGTATAGTTTGACAAGCAAAACCTGTGATTAATGGCAACAGTATGTGTTGTTAGCAACATATCCTTACTATAACAAGCTAAATTTATGTCTTCCCCTCTACTGTGAGAATCTGCTCTCAGCCCTGTGTTTTCATGCCAGTGAGAATAATTTAGGTTAATAGCATGATCCTTTCTCATGATCCTTTCCCTATGTTCTTTAAGTGTTTTGGAGGAGCGTCAGCGAGGTGGGGTTGGAGGGTGCACAGGAAGGAAAAGGAGTAGCTGGGAAATCTCATCGACGCTCCTCGGTGAACAAGAGACACCCCAGTCAGGATCTGGGCGTCGCTGCCAAGTCATCTCAGGGTCGTAGACTCCAGTGGTCCCCGTTTGGGTGAAGGCGGCACACACAAACACATTTGTGTGTGAAACGGACCCGGTTGTTCTTAGAATTTTGACGGAAACAGCGTCAGGCTTGCAAATTGACCTTAAGGTATACATGCAAGCCGGAGGAGATGAAAGGAAGAGAAAGAGGAGGATTTAGCCTCTAGACTTGTATATTTCCTCAGGAAATGGATTCTCTGAGATGACAGGAAGCTAATTAAAGCTTTGGTCCAGACTGAAATATCTCAACAACTACTGAGTTGAACTGAATGTGAATGTGAAGGTCCCCTCAGCTTTATGGAGCTTCATGGCGAGTTTAAGCTCATTGTTTCACTTTACTGTTTTGGTTCACTCTCATAGTTCACCTGCTTCAGTTTTCACTCCATGCTCGGTATCAAACAGCAGACAGACACAGTCAGAGATCAGCTGGTGAAATAGTGGAGCATTTAGCGGCTAAAGAGCCAGACAATTCCCTCAGGAGATGGTGGAGACCAGATGTATCGCCATGGCATTCGGTTCAGAGATTCATGGTTCCCAGGGGATGAATCCTAGAGACTTTGCTGATCCTGTGACTTCTCCTCCAGCGCAACCATGAAACTGATGTTTGTGGCTTTTGAGTGAACGTACTGTATCAATCGCCATGAAGTTTAATGCAATTATTCATGTTCCCATCAGGATTAATTGTAACAACTTTGGCGACCCTTGACTTTTAGTGTATCACCACCATCAGGTCAAAATTGAAAGTTGGACAATACTTTGGTTTATGACCAAATACCTGCAGAAATAATGACATTCCCAACAGCTTCGGCTGCACCTCTGGGATTCTGCAACCAGGGGTGCACTGGTAACTGACTCTGCATTAATAACATAATTTTTGAATTTGAAGACCTTAAATTTCAAACTCTTAGTTACCTTGTGCTGTCATCAAAAAAAAAATCATTCCATCAGCTTTAACAGGAGGCACCTGTTGGGTGAAAAATAGAAAGTAAAACAGATTTTCTGTCTTATGTAATTTAGTTTCTCTTGAAGCTGCTGTCCCCAGCTGAGCAGCTTGTTTATAAAAGTTATAAGAAAATGCCCCAGTTGTGTAAAAATGTAATGTAGAGCTCACACAAAAGCACAGTTTAGATTTCCTTCACCTATACTTTTACCTCTCTGACAGATTTTTTCCATGCTGAAATGAAAATAGCAGCCCCGGCTAAAAATGACCACCTCAACAGATGTGGAGCGAGGCCCGGGCTGCAGGAAACGGTGAGAGTGTCACGTCTTTCACCGCGCGCTGAGAGGAGAGGTCGACCCAGAAACATGTGTTGCCTGAACTTTGGCTCTTTTTCTTCCTGTAAGGGCGCCTTCTCGCTCCCTCTCTCTGGGTCTTTATTTTCTTTTTTTTCATCTCGGTTGCTCACACACCCATATACATGCAGACACAATGAAGTGGTGAGGAAAAAGCATGAGGGAAGGAGTTATCAAGCTGGAGTTACACATTTGAGTTGGTTTTGTAAATCAGTAAACCAGTGTGTTGATTCATATGAAGAAATTATCACCAATGCAGGGTGGATACAGCAAAACCCATGTCTGAAATATAAGATGACAGTTCTTGTCCATTTAGCATAAAGCACTGTTTTATTTGTTTTCAAACCCCAGAGCTCTCCTGGTTTTTCATTTCACTCCTTACACCCGAGATATCAGGTAAAAGCAGTTCACTGTGATTTGATGCCTGGTAGGAAAAGTGCTGTCTCCCTCTAGTGGCGAGATGAGCTCATTTAAATTCACTTTCAAAGCAAAAAGATTTTGCTGCTCATGAGGGGGAACCGAGTGTTTATTCAATTTTTCTTACTTCAGTTTGTGGGAAGAGCACAGTCATTCCAAAGAGAGACATTTATTCCACATCCACAGTCAACAATAAACAAATACTTTGCAATTTACAGTCATATGTTGCATTTACAGTTGAAGTTTTAAAAGGAGAATACAAAGGTTTTCTGTTGAAAGAGTAAATGAGTTCCTGCACAGAACTTAATAATTTAGGTTCAAGCATTATTTTGATTTTTTATTCCATTAAACTTAAAAACTACAGTCGTTGCCATATAGACACTTGCCCTATTTACTGGAAAAAAGCCATCACTAGTAAAAAATGAAAAGGTTTGGATGCTTTTATTTGCAATAAACCTTCAATTCTTAGGTAATCTCCTCTAAGCTCCCCACAAAGACATTGCATCTCTTACGATTACTGGCTGTTTTTCCAGTTTATGCAAGTTTACAGTCTATATAAACCCACCTTTCCTTCCTTTTTATTTAGCACCTTAGACGTTACTTTTATCCACCCACATGCATTTCCCTGTAGAGTACTTTACGTTAGAGTGTAAATTTATTGACATGGTGAATAAATTATGTCAGCGTCCCACCAGTCACACAGCTCTCGTCCGCTGGCAGACACAGTAAGTACGCTGTACTTCAACAGCTTCTGGGAAATGCAGCCATGTGTGAAGAACCTTTATCGACGTGTATGCTCACAGAGAGAGGAGTCCATATGCTATAATTTCTGGTGATGGTGTTACTCCTCTACAAAGGCCTATTTGAGTCCATCTTACATTGGGGATTTGTGTTTTATGAGAAGCACACGGGGCCGATGTCCAGGCCGAATTCCTGGTCAGGCTTTCCAATGTCCATAGGGGCCACGTCCATGATGGGCAACCTGGCCGAAGTTTGAGTCCTGTACTCGATCACTGTCTTGCCCCATTCTCCGTTTGATTGCTGTAAAAGTAAAAGTAAAAGAAAGTAAGTAAAAAGAAAGCCAGATTAATCACCCAATGGTTTTTCATCAAATGTAGTAATGTATTCTGTGGAAGACTTACTGAGCAGCCGTCCTCGATGACGGTGTATCGGAGGCGGTTGTTGCCCTGCGCCCTCAGCTCCTGGCCGTTGGAGCCTCTGAGGACCAGAGCTTTCTTCAGGTTGCTGCTCGTCTCGTCTTTATAAGCCACACTGTTCCTGCAGTGGTAGGTGATGGTCTGGTGCGACTCTTTGGACAAAAGCTGCAGCAGCTTCACTTGAACAGCCACTGCATTAGGCTGCTCCTCCTTATTTCCATAGGTGAACTGAAATTTGATGTCAGTTTGACATGATTACACACATTGCATGCTCAATTTCCAGGCTTCTAGATACATGTCATGGTGTCATTTCAAATCTTCCACAACATGCATATATGCAAATAAAGCTCTTGAATTCTTACTTGAGTTCCACCATTTATGTTGGCTCCAAACCAGACAGGTATGTTGGCACTGGGACTGGATTTCGTCCACCAGGCTTTGCGGGGAATGTTTGCCGGATTGGCGGAGATGCAGGTTTCACCACTTTCCATATCACAGTAGACCCTGATGGCGTCTTTGATGCTTCCTTGATTTGGGTCGAGCCAGTACTCACCTGTATCAAAGGCAGAAAAAAAATGATTGGAAGGAGTTAGATCACTAGGCCTGGGTACATATGTGATACTGGTCTAAAAATAAGAAAATTAGGACCCTCACCGCTCTTTTTCTGGGGGTAGCACTGCTTGATGTCCTGGCAGGTTTTTGCAGGGTTCATCCTGCTGCCGTCAGGATTGCGGAGGTTTTGCAGATGTCCATTGAGGGTCTTCAGTGTGGCTTGGATGCCAGTGTCTGCACGCAGGATGGCCAACTTCTTATTGGGAAGGGCTTCATCTTTGTTGAACTCCGGAAGTAGAGGAAGATCAGCCGACATATCATCCTCTACGAATTCCACAGCTTCTGGCACGTCGCCGTTCCCATCGTAATCAGCCGGGGCGGCGAAGAGGTCTTCCACAGCTGCTGCGGTGGGAGGTCCTGGGGGGCCTGGAGGGCCGGGGGGTCCGGTTTCACCAGGTGGACCCTGAGAAAAAAGACAATCATTACATTTTTCTTCTACTTCATATTTGCTATGCTAGCTGTGTGAGAAAAAAGGTCGGTCCATGCAGATCCAGATCAAGATATCCCTTTTTGAAACTCTGACAAGGTCTTAATTTATCAAATTTAGTAATTAAGGTTTATCTGAAAATGTTATCTCCTTAGCTGATGGAAATAAAACAATAGATGTAATCTTGTGTCACCTGTGCTCCGACATCTCCACTGGTCCCTCTGGTTCCGGGAGCGCCCATTGGTCCGGGCTGGCCGATGTATCCTTCCTTTCCAGGAGGACCCAACACTCCTGGAGGACCCTATATGGTTGTAAAACAATGAGAGATTGACACTGAGGAATAATGCATAATATAAAATGCATACTTTTATCTGGTCTGATTTATACAATCATACAATTATACACCTACCCTCTGCCCAGCTGGTCCAACAATACCTATCGCTCCTGCATCTCCTGTGGCCCCCTGGAACAGAGAAGAATGGGATTTTATTTTCTAATATTTTCATTGTTGTTGTGTTTCAGTGTTAAAATAGACTCAAAATTACTTGACTTCAATGCTGCACTGGCCAAGATTTGTACGTTAAAAGAGTTAAACCTGCAGAAAATCAAAGATCCTCGCTGAATGAGATGTTGCAAATGCACCTAAACTGAATTCAGTTGCTGTGTTGGGTGTGGGTCCTTCTGTCTTCACAGGAATTGACAAAGTTGCCTAAATGATCATTTTTTTGCTTACAGTTATTCCAGGGAGACCGTGAAGACCGGTGAAACCTCTGTGACCTTTCTGACCCCTCTCTCCTTGCTCTCCAGTTGCCCCCTTCTCTCCCTGTGGTCCTTGAGGGCCCTGAAATCAGACACAAAGTGAGAGTTCAACACTTGGAAAACAATGTTTTACACCGAAAAAAAAGTACAGGTTTGTTTTAATTCTTGATTTTAAATTGTTGAATTGTTCATGTTTACCACTTTCCCACGTATTCCAGTTTGTCCTGGGGGTCCAGCGGGGCCTTTGGCACCCTAAACTCAAAACAAGCAAAGAGACATGGCAGAGCACAGTTTGTAAATGTGACAGGATAGATGGAGTGTCTGATGTGTGGCTGACAGTGTAGCATATTAAATTTAAATAAATTGTATTTCTGTTTGTGAAACTCACATTTTCACCAATTTGTCCTGGACCGCCGGTAATTCCAACTGGACCGTCAGTTCCTGCAGACCCTGTAATACCAGCCAGACCTTCTGGACCAGGATTTCCTCTGTCTCCCTGGAAACACATACACACAACCAGTGATTACACAACATTATAATGGTATCATTAACTGATTCGATCCACTATTTAAAAAACAACAACACACAAACACCATGTATTTAATCTTACTCTGTCCCCTATGAGACCGTCTTTACCAGGAGGGCCCTCTGCTCCAGCAATACCCTGAATAAACACAGATGATGAGAATAAATTAGTGACAGAAAAGCTGAGTCGTCGGCAGAGAAACATTTGCACCAGAGCATTACAGAATAGATGCTTTTAAAACATGAACTGATGAACTCTTTGTGTTAATTTTGGGACATTGCAATGCAAAGACAATAAAACATCAGCTAAAGACATGAAATAAAAGCTGTATAGGACAAACCTCAGGACCGGCATCTCCTCTTGGCCCTGTAGCTCCTGGTAACCCAACTACACCAGCGGGCCCTGTGCCTCCCTGAGTTCCAGGGGTTCCGGGTTTTCCTGGTGGACCCTGAGAAACAAAGAAATACAAAAATCCATCAGTGCAATGTGCGTTTTTGAGATGTGGAGCTGCTTTGTCAGGCTAAAAACAAAACGTAGTGAGTAGAATTACTTACAGCAGGACCTGGCAGTCCCAGCATGCCTCTCTCTCCTCTGAGTCCAGGCTGACCTACGATACCTCGCTGTCCTGCGGCGCCAACAGGTCCTGGAGGCCCATCAGGCCCCTGTCAGACAAACACAAGAGCAAGAAAAGCAATTGAGTCATCTCAGGACTTATTTGTGTCCGGCTGCTGGAGGATCAGCACAGTGTGAACTTTCTCTGACCGGAGGACCGTCCTCGCCAGAGTCTCCCTTCTCTCCAGGGCTGCCTGGTGGGCCTGAGGGTCCCATCTCTCCTTGATGTCCTGGAGCTCCATTTTCTCCTCGAATTCCAGGAGGGCCCTGCTTTCCTGGAGCACCTATGGGTCCATCTGCACCAACAGCACCCTGAAAAACACACAACAGCCTGTCAGTGCAAATTTTGAAAACATAAATGCGATTCCTGCTTATAATTTTTTTTTTGAAGTAATTAATAACATGCAGATAACTTCTATATGTTGTTTTCATTTTATTTAACTAATCAACTCACAAGGGAGCCGGCCGGTCCAACTCCCCCAGGCAACCCAGGGAAACCAGGAGAGCCCTGTGGGAAGAAAACACTTCTAATAAGATGCACTTTAATGATAATAATGACATTAGCACTTGATTAGTTACAGCGTGTTATAAAGCGCTCTGGGATAAGACTGTTGATACACCAAACTAAGTTAGAAAGACATAAATTAACACTGTGAAGTTGTTATTCGCCACAAAGGCTTTGAAGAACTCACTGTTGGACCCTTGGTTCCTCTGCCTCCTTTCAGTCCAGTTACACCAACAGGTCCCTAAAACACACACAATTAAATCAGGTCACCTTGAATATCTTTATGCAAATGAACTGGTCAACCCAATATAAACTGTCTGTTTCTTCCTTCCACAAGATTTTTAAATGATATTCAGACCTGTTCATGTTACCATGTCACCAAAATATGACAAAAAATTGATTCTAACCAGTATTTATTACTATTGGATTGAGACAATGTGTTCCTTCTACCTGTGCTCCTTGTTTCCCAGCTGTGCCATGTGGTCCATGTGGTCCAGCCTCTCCCTTCTGGCCTGGCTCACCTGTTTCACCTTTGACTCCAGGCTGACCATCAGGACCCTGGAGAAGGATATATGTTTCAGGTAATTACTGATCTTGTTGATGATGCTGAGGTCTCAAAACTTGTGTATCAGTTGTGATACAAACGCCGGTATACAGTTTATTTTCAAAATGTGCTTTTATCAGTTTATTCATCGGTATATTTTCGACATGACTGCCCCGTGGTTAGCTGTGGTTAGTGTCCACTTACAGGAGGTCCAGGGAAGCCAACAGCACCAGTTGGACCATTCTCACCAGTAGAACCCTGTTAATAGATCACACATAAATACACACTTTATCAAGAAAAATATTCAACTCCAAGACAATTTAATGTTCGTAGTCAAAGAAAATGTACTGACAGCGATTCCTCTTGAGCCTCGGCGTCCTGCAGGTCCTGATGGGCCGGGTTCACCCTGAAATAAAGGAAACAAGGTTCTCAAAACATGGCAGGGATTTTGTTCCATCTATGTAACAAAGGATCTTTAGATTGAGGGTCGTTTACTATTTTTCTCCTGTTTTGCACCAAATATTTGTGGCAGTATTTTTACACTACCAATCACATTTCAAAATGAATGAACTCACCTTCTCTCCATGGGGTCCACTGGAACCAACAGGTCCAACAGGACCAGGAAGTCCCTTTTCATAAAAATAAATGAATAGATATTAGAACACTATAACAGACAAATAAAAACTTAACTGTAAGATTGTGAGTGATGGTTTGACAGTGAGTATGTTTTCAGTTTTTGTGCCATCAAGAAAACATTTCATCACAAACGTCTGGTGTCTCGATCTGAGAAATCTGCAGTGTCGTTTGTGTCTCGACCATCGTGTTGAGGCGACTCACCCGTGCACCATCAGCTCCTGCTTTACCCTCGAGTCCTTTATCTCCAACAGAGCCCTGTTAGAAGAAATCAGCCTCATTAGTGGCTCAGGTTCATCTTCCTTTAACAATCTGAACACACAGGAAACCCATACTTTCTTAGTGATTTCCCACATTTTCCAGAATCCCTTTTGACAACCCCCAATGAATTGGCTCAGACTTGATTCATTAAGCATACAGAGATAGAGAAATTGTAACGTCAACAGCTGGTATTTTGTTCTACTAAGGATCATGTTAGTTGAGAAATTGGTACCTCTGTTTCTTTGCAGACAATCTGATCCCATTCTTTAACTTACTGCATCTCCCTTTGGGCCTGAAGGTCCTGGTATGCCCCTCTCCCCTGGCATCCCCTGAAGTCCTGGACCACCTGGCTCTCCAAGAGCACCCGCTGGACCAGCGTTACCCTGAAATATGCAAGAGAGTATCACAGATTTACATGCAGCAGCTCAAAATTATGCAGTTTAGATCTTGGTGAAGTCTCAGTGTCAGTGGTTTCACAGTTATGTTACCTTTGGTCCGTCTGGTCCTGGTCCACCTGGACTACCTTTGGGTCCCTGCAGCCCATTAGGTCCGATTTCACCTCTTTCTCCTGGGGGGCCCCTTTCTCCCTACAGGGACAACCGGGGGGTGAAGACACACAGCAGTGAGCTAAACCCTTAATAAGGGGTGGGAACACTGATTAGCGGATTAAATGGACCTACCCTTGGACCAATAGCTCCGCCAGCCCCAGCCTCTCCAGCAAGACCCTGGAAAAATACAAGAATATTATACTAATATCGCATGAAGACCTTCTAGTGAAGTGATGACACATCACTGTACAGCATATAATTTGAAGGCTAAGAAAGGAGAATTGAACTCTTTAATGCAAAAAAAAATTGCTGTACAATTTTTTGAATTAAATTTTTCATGTTATTTTATCATACCTCATCACCTGGTTTTCCTGACTCTCCGGGTGGACCTGGCAGTCCAGGCAAACCCTAAGAAAACATCAACCCACATTTTAATGTATTGCTAATGCCAAGAATAGACATAACATGAACTTACTCATTAATATGCCGGTATAACTAAATCAGTTTTAGCTTGAAACAGAGGCTATAATACTCTGATACTGAGTGTAGAAGAAATCATTTTGAATTGAATTTCTCATTAGTTTCACTGTATGCAGTGTAAACTCAAATATTTCAGAAATAAATGAAAAAAAAACACCAGACTCCAGTGCTAATCTCAAAATGTATAATTTTATAATGACAGGATGCAGTTTACCTGGAAACCATGCAGTCCCTGTGGTCCCTGCTCTCCTCTTTTTCCTGCAGGACCCTGGAAAAAAAGCAAATTGAGTATAATTCAAACATATTGTTGTTAAATCAGTGATGATTTTCTCAACAAAGGCGAATGCTTACAGCTGGGCCAGCTGGTCCAGCAGCGCCCTCCTCTCCATCCTTTCCATGCAGTCCCTAGAAAAACAGTCAAAGTGCAGCATTTATCAGTATATTTGTGCTTTGGTGAAGAGAATTGAGCCTTAGGAAGAGGTGTAATATATTAATATAATCATATTCATAGTCATAGTTACCCTTTGACCTGGAGGTCCGGAACTTCCAGCCTCTCCAATCTTTCCAGCATCACCCTAAAAAACAACAGGCACGGAACAACAGAAGTCATCACCTGCTGTGTTATCATGTAGCTTATACATTACTGTCATTCTGTGGCTCTGTTTTTACATTTATTTACATGCATTCATTTGGGAGATGCTTTTGTCCAAAGCATAGTGCTTGGCTGTTAAGTTACTTCCACTTTGAGGGGAATTCTTTCGGTCATTAATTATCAAATTTTCTCAAATTTCAGAATCTCAGAAACGTCACTTGACACCTCCTCAGCACAACAGGCAATGGTAGCCTTCTCTTTGTTCATCAAATGTTCCTAACAATGCATAAAAACAACGTTTGTCGGGTGGTCTCAAACACAACGTTTCATACTGACAGCAAAGCCTTTTGGTCCTGGCAGGCCCATCTGTCCAGCTGAGCCTCTGTTTCCAGTAGAACCAGCTGGGCCTGGTTTGCCATCTTCTCCTGCTGAGCCCTGGAAAGACAAAAGAAAGTTAAATTCATGCCATCATGCACCAAATACAACACATACCATACTCTAGGCTTGGGGAAAGAATCAATCCTTATTTGGTTGTTTTGGTTAAGTGGTGACATGTTTGACAAGTAGTGGAAATAAAAGGTTTTGTGTACCATTGGTCCTTGTTTTCCCTCTGCTCCCTGAGCGCCGATAAGTCCAGTCAGACCCTGTGAAATAAGACACAAAAAAGGGAGGCACAGTTACAGAACAGCCTTTGATACCTGTCTCCTCTCCTCAAAAGTAATATTCTATTGTGTTCTATTGTTGTTTTCAAACTGTTGAAGGACTTAACAGACAAACTTATAGCGACAACTTGAAAAGCAGCGTTTTAATGCAAATGTAACCATGCCTCCAGCAGTGATGTCACACTGTACGGACACACCCTGGAGTTCACTTCTCCATCACTGCAGCAACGCGTAAAGTTAAACCCTTCAAGGTGGGTAAATACAAGATTGTCTGTTGGTGTATTAAAATGCGCGTAACAAATAAACTCTATACAATGCTGCAATCAGGTTTGAATTACTTCAAAGTAATAAATGACAACATTAGATATTTATGTATGTTTTACCCGAGCTCCTGTTAAACCTGGCTCTCCACTGCGTCCCAGATCTCCAGGTAAACCTTTGGTGCCAGTTGACCCTGGCCCTCCTCTTTCACCCTGGGCTCCCTGTTTGGCCAAACATCAAATATTCAAAATCACAGAAACTCATAGTCATGGTCAAGAATAATCATGATTAACAACAAATAGTCACATTGTGTACATGTATTTTGGTGTGAAGTCAACTCACCTTCTGGCCTGGTAAACCATCTGCACCAGGGAAACCTCGATTTCCTGGAGCTCCCTACGACAAATGAAGGATGCTTCTTCAAAATCAGACCTGAGATCATAAAACTTCCTCTGTGCTTAAAGGACCATGAAAATAGTTTTTGAGGATGAAGTAAGAAGACGGCTCACTGTCTCTCCTGTAGGTCCTGGAGGCCCAATGGATCCGGCATCACCTCGTGGTCCACGCTTCCCATCCTCTCCCATCGGGCCTAATGGACCCTGAGCACCATGGTCACCCTAACATCACAGAGAAATCAATAACCAGTGAATCAGTCAAACAGTCTCCAAACAAACCAGTCAAACAGTTTGTCAATAGGCCAATCAACATCTTTGTGTCAGGATGGTTTTATTTTTCTCTTACTCTTTCTCCCTTATGTCCAGCTTCTCCTTTGAATCCAGGCACTCCAACCTCGCCCTGCAAAACAATGTGGAGGTCAAAACATTAAAACTCCCACTGCATCAGATTTATTCACTCTTTGATTTAAAAACAGGGAGGTGGAAGTTGAGAAAAAGAATTCTACTACAGGACTAGTGAGTTATAGAAAACTAGAGGAAATGAGCTCATACCAATTGGCCCTTTGGTCCTGGTACTCCTGTTGTTCCCTGGGGACCAGGGGGACCAGGGGGTCCCAGCAAACCTGCTGGACCCTGAACACCTGCCAGACCCTGGGAAGGAGGAAGAGCAGCCAACGATTTAATATAAAAATATCCAGAGGACAATTGAAACTGCTGTATCACATGTTCTCGGGCAGTCAACCAAAATCAATGAGAAGAATAAAATCTGTGATTTGGCAAAAGCATTCCTCCATTTTTCAGAGCAGTGAAAGCCAACGTTGTTATGTAGAATTAAAAATCTTGGCTGAATCACAAAATGAGGCTGTGGAGGAGAAAAATGTCTCAGTACTATTAACTAAAGGGCCACAGATCTGCAGGCAAAGATATGGTGGAAGTTGGTTCTAATAATCTTTTATTATACATATTCCATGCAGTTGCACTTACTGCTTGTCCACGGGCACCTGGAGTTCCATCAGTTCCTGCTGCACCCTGTTATAAAACAAGATATTAACTAATGATCAATAATGATGTTAAATATTCTTACATTCCAAGATTTAAAAGAAAAACCTACAAAAAACTTGGACAGAATGATTAATTAGATTGTAACACACCTGCTCTCCCGTAGGTCCAGGTGGTCCTACGTGTCCGGCATCCCCCCTGGATCCCTGCTGTCCTGGGCTTCCTCTCACCCCTGTGGGTCCGGCTTCACCCTGCACCAGAGGACACGATTGAGGACAAAATTCCTGATCGACTTTCAAGGTCTTTTGCTGAATTCACAACGTCAAATTTGGCCTGGTTTTTCTGTCATAAGTCATCCAACAGGCTTATGTTGTGGGATGAAATGAAGTACTGAATATGACACCAGATCATAAACAAACTCACCTTCATTCCTGGGCTGCCTGGAAATCCTGGCACACCGGTGATTCCCAGTGGACCCTGTAATTGAAGAAAATTTGACATAATATAATAATATAATAAAACAAATATTCAGTCTCTTTGGCTTTCAGCTCAGAGCTCCGTTTCACTCTCTTATTATTTCATGCTCAGTTAAGGTCAAAGGCCCTGCAGGATTTTCATTAGGATGCTGAAATACCTGCAGAATAAAAACAGCTTGTATATGGTGCTACAGCGGTTTAGTTACAGGTTATATTTGTTCCAGTCTCATGATTTCTTGATCCAGTAGAGGAACATTACATGAGTGTCTGATTTGACACATGTAAACAGTAGATATGAGTCCTTACCAGAGGACCTGGTTTGCCGACATGGCCGGGTGTTCCACGTTTTCCCTGAAATAGGAAGAGAGAGAAAATGTCTAAATCCTGCAGCATCATTTTACAGTTTTGTACTTTCTCAAATGGATGATTTTATCTTCTTACCACAGGCCCAGTTGGGCCGGCTCTGCCTCTTTCTCCCTGCATGCCCGCTGGTCCCTGAAACAGAGGACTGGCTCAGTATCTGTGTGGCTGACATGTGACTCTGTGTCAGATACTGTGTTGATCTTTTTTAATGTGTGTGTTGCCTACCAGTGGACCGGGAGCACCCATAGCACCAGGAGTACCGGATGAACCCTGCAAAACACAACAACACAGGAACAATTCAGGTTTGAAATGTGCAGTTTTGTAAAGACGTCCACCGTCTTTCAAAGTTAGTTATAATATATCATTATGGTTCTATAGCACTGTATGAGTTAAAGATTCCATTATCAGTTTTTATTTCTAGTGGAGTTTTAACCATCCTAATATATTAAGAAGAAGAATTTGAGAAGCTCCTGATGAGGTGACACATTCATACCTTATTTCCAAGGGCTCCAGACTCTCCTCTCGACCCGAGAAGACCAGAATGTCCCTGTTGAAGAGATTTAAATTCACAGAAACGGGTCAGTGCTTGATTTTACAGAGGAAATAAAAGAAGTGAGGAAGTATGACTTTAACTACATGTGACTCACCTTTTGACCTTTCATTCCTGGAAGACCTGGGAGTCCTGGGAATCCTCTTGCACCCTACAGAAAACAACCAATCAAATCAACTATGAAGTCCCATCTTTCACCGTTCCAACTAAACAACTAAATTAATATAGATCATATTTGATGTACTTATGATAGATTCTACATTATATGGAAAATGTCAGGGCTTGATTGTGTCACTAGGTTATGATTAATAGTTAATAATTCAAAGATTTGGTGTGAACACTGAGTGACGACTAGTTACCCCAGATCCTGGAAATCCTGGCTCTCCTGTAGCACCTGCAGATCCAGCTTCTCCCTGAATGGAAAAAAGAGAAATAGTTGTTCTTAATAAATTATTACTTGTAACACTAAAAGTTAATGGGAATGTGTGGATGTTTGACTCACATCAGATCCAGCTTTTCCTGGTGGCCCATCTGGTCCCCGATGACCCGGCTCACCCTGCAGACAAACGCAAAGAACTCGTTACAGCTGACACAACTTTTCAATCACGGGTGAATTTAAATTAAACTTTGTGAGAATCAACTGAATGTTCTAAAATGTAAATGTGTTCCTACCATCAGTCCTTGATCTCCAGCCTCTCCTGGAATTCCCTGACCACCGCTTGGACCCTAAAGAAGAGATGGAGGAGATATACGACTCCGTCAAGGAATAACTAATACTTACAATTATTTAAAATGTTCAGATGTTTATTGCCAAAACTTACTGGTGATCCAGGCGATCCTGGAGGTCCTCGTGGTCCTGCTTCACCCTGAAATAGCAACATTTTATTCACTGTACAAATAAAGATCTTAACATTGTATAAATGTAAAAGAAACATTTCCGATATAACTGTGCAGCACTCACCCTTGATCCTGACACCATCCCAGCCCAACCGGACTTCTCACTGAAGCCTGAGGCCATCTGTGATACTAGGTTTCCCTTTTGGGAAGAGATTTATTCAAAATAAATGTTCAAAATTATCATAGAGGAATGGCTGTAAAATGTATGTATTCCCCCTCCACTGCAAGGTAACTGACGCTGAGAAAAACTCACCCCAGGGGCGGATGCATGGCCTGGGGCTCCTGCCTCTCCTGGATTTCCTGGCACACCGGGCTCTCCATCAAATCCTGCAGGCCCTGGGAATCCCTGCAGGTTGTGTGGGAACATATCACAAATGAGAGAGGACACATTGTTGGCCATGCAAACAGTAATAAATAGATGGTTAATTTCTCTATCAATCAATTAATCAATTAATAATTTAGATGATTAGTGCAGGAAATTTCCCTCATTGTTAATGAGGCATAGAGAAAACACTGCAACTGCTTGTCTGTTAGCTAATGTAATGATAGCATTTTTGTTTGATGACAATTATTTGTTCTTCTTCTCCTCCTTCTTCTTCTTCTTCTTCTTCTTCCTTGTTTAACTTCATCAAGCATCTTTGGTAACTCTTGTTTGTGCCAATAAATTTTGAAAGAGGAAAGTCCAACTCAGTCACACAAAAAGAGAAGATACTTTTTTGGCAATAGCTCACTTCTCAACGAACGTTTGTGCAGCAAAATCATTGGTAGCGATTTCATCAGGAGATTAGCCGAGTCAGGCTACTGACCAGTCATCTCTCTATATATTGTATTGATAAAAGAGGACCAATAATGGACACTGTTGGAAACTGCTATCAGTTTTACTGCCACACAAATGAAGTTGAGCAAGTAAACTTATTTATCAAATAATGTGTATCCTCTGGGAAATTGTACCACCTTCTCCATGTCCTGTATCATATTATTTGTTGCACTTTAAATGCACATTTGATTATTGTTATGCCACTTTTAATGGTGTTTGCACTTATTGTGAGTTGCTTCCTTTTCCACACCAATTAAGGCTTAAAAATATTTAAATTAAACAGTTTTCTTCTCTAAAGAAGGTGCACTGATTAAAGCCCCTATGTGTAGGATTTAAAAATTTGTGACTTTGGCGGCTGAATGCTATTACACCTGTCTAAACACTGAGATTGCTGCACCAGGATTGTCCCATTGTTCTAAAAACAAAAGCTTCTGCTCTCAGAATCATTTGCAGGATGCTAAAATCACAAAAATCTCACACATAAGAGCTTTAAGAAACAGGAAGTAGCATGTTAGAATATACCATTAACATTTAAGATTTACACTTTAAAGGAAAAGTTTGACACGCAAGTAATACCACACACAGTATATGAAGCTACCCTCAGCAACCAGTTATCTTAGCTTAGTTTAGCAGAAAGACTTCCCACCGGTTTTCACAGTTTTACACATACAGATTAAACAGCATGTTAATTAATGAGGTTTAGTTAGTTAGTCCTTTAGTTGGTGTTGGTAGATAGAGCCAGGCTAGCTGTGTCCCGGTTTCCAGTCTTTTTGCTAAGCTAAGCTAAGCTAATCAGCTATGTGACGGCTTCATATTTATCTTGCAAAATGTTTGAACTTTTCCTTTAAGTTCTTCCAATTTTGGCTGTTGGATTTAAGTTCACATGGTCAGATACTAATTAATTTTTGTTTCACGAAGATACGTGCTCAGAAAATGGGAAAGTCTACGCCAACAACGACATGTGGAACCCGGAGCCATGTCGGATCTGTGTGTGTGATAAGGGACCGCTGTGTGTGAGGAGTGGTCTGCGAGGACCTCGGTGACTGCCAGAAAACTGTGACCCCTGATGGCGAGTGCTGCCCCGTGTGCTTGACTCCAGCTGCAACATCAGCTCCCAGCGCCGACCCCACAGCAGGTAAATGTTAACTCAATCACTTTGCAGAGAGCTTAGACTGTGCCGCTTTTAAACACCCCACCTGTTTGTGTTACAGCTGCAGATGAGAATATGAAGGAAAGCTGCACAGTCGACGGGAGGTCTACAGTCACAACGACATCTGGAAAACCAGAGCCTTGTCGCGTCTGTGTCTGTGACAACGGTGTCACCATCTGCGATGAGGTGCAGTGCGAAATTCTGTCAAACTGCGAGAAGGTCGTCACACCTGAGGGAGAGTGCTGCCCTGTGTGTGACAACTTCGCCAGTGCCAGCAGGATGATTGGTGAGACATATTTACCCGTTCCCCACTGTCCATCCAATCCATACACTGCTCATTAATGAATTATTATGGTCTTGCCACAGTGATGTCACATTGTAACATGACACACCTTAAAGTACACTTGTACATCACTGCAGCAAGTCAGCAAATCACAAGTTCAACAGCTGTTTGTTATAATATCTTTAATGTGAAATGATGAATGCAGTAGCTGAGAACTGTAGAAAGGTTTAGGAGAATATAATCGAATTAACTTTCTTCCTTCTATTTTCCTCAAGAAATGATGGGCTTCAAGGTAAGTCATGAATCATTTTGACGTGGATTCATTTCAAACAAATGTGAAACTATTGTTCTTTTAATCAAAACAAAATACGTTTCCTCTTTACAGGGACAGAAAGGTGAACAGGTGATATCCCTATGTAAGTAAACTCAGCAGTGTTTATTTTTTAAATGCAACTTATAGTTTTTTTTGGTTGATATTTGTCATTTACTTTACATCTTAACACTTTTGTTTTTTTCCTCTCAGGTTGTGGGCTCCTGGACCTCAAAGGACCCGGTGGGTTTTTTTTACTGCTTTTACTCTTGCTATTGTTTTTGTATTTACACGTGCCAATGTGTATTATTGGATGGATAATCTATAATATGTAGATTTTAAGAAGTGAATTAGATGCAGCAGGCTTTTTAAGATGGCCACAATGCACTAATTTTGACACTAGAGGGCACCAAATCTCATAACTGACTTTTTCAGTGTTTATCATTGGAAACACCCTGTACTGTTCATGTTGCCTGTGTGATGAATATGTGTTGTTGACGACACACACACATTTGTTGAGACAGTGCAGGCAGATTACAGTATCTCTGCAGACTGCTGAGTTTGCATATAAGACTGGAGGATATTTATTAGTTTTTTTGTCCTTCTTTTCATTAAGTTTATCATTCTTATGTAAAGGTTAATGGGCTTAATTCATATCACTTTAGTTTATCTTGAATTAGATGTGATCACAATGTGTATGCACTTATGAATTCTATTTTTCTTTTATGGTCCAGGGTCCGCCAAGGAGCTCAGGTAACACTGGACCTAGAGGCTTTAAAGGCAGGAAGGTAAGTCTGAATCAGAGATGTTTGTGTACTGACTTTTCCAGTCACTAATCAACTGCACAGATATAGTGATAGAGTAGGGTTCATACAATTTTATAATTTATCGATTAAAATATATTTATTATATATTATGTATTCATTTAATAAATCATGTATTTATCTGTGTGGTTATATTTTACACTATACTTGTGTTTCTGTATTTGAAACCAGACTAGGTCAAAACCTAGTGGCTGGAAGTTAAAGGTCAATGTGCAAAATTGAGAACGTATTTGAGGACCATCATGGAACTGCTGTTTCAGTCCGGCCGATAAGTGCATATACTCTAGAGTTTTTTCCATGCTATGTCCTCAATTTAGCACACTGACCTGACACAGTTCAGTAACAGTGGGACTTTCCCTGCTAACACAAATGTCCATGAGTGACAAAGTGGACAGATTGGAGTTCGCACCCAATTGGTCAACGCAGTGCGACGTGACTGAAGT